TTTTTTAATGGGTGATAGATAGATAGATACTCTTTATTGTTTCCTTCAAAATATCACAAGAGTAAACTTATTATATTTATATTATACCATTATAATGGTAACCCCGCCTGCGCTATCGGTATACGCTGGCGGGGCACCAGTGAGAGATGATAGGTGACGATGAAAGCAGGTCAGTTAGCCCATCGTGACGAATTCCACTAGAATCAACCACGACGGTTTCCAGGGGGAACCGCGTGGAGGTCGACCTGGTAGGATGTATTGCTAGCAATGAATCAGTTAGACACCATTACTACCAACCTCCCACATTTTTTTGTGTTAGTACATAATCATCGTATCTATCCGCCCTCCATATTGCACGTATAATTTTCCAAGATGAGGTAATGTTTGCTCTAAACGCGGTCAAATGTCATGAACTTCATTGTTAGACATGTTATGTGACATATTCAATATAAGTAGGCATACAGGTAATAGGAGAAATTGCGTTGCATAAAAAAAAATCAAATAATATAATTATCTACCACATTAGTGTTAATTTTTCAAGTTCCTTTGTTTATGCAACTTAGAATGGCCAACAAGCTGACGGCCCATCTGATGGGAAGTAGTAACCGTCGCCTATAGACATGAGCAGTACCATGGACATAACAGAGTATACTGTATCGCCCATGATACTCCCCATGTGTTGCCATTCCTGAGGACTCAGGTGTTATTTCTCTGTACCCAGTAAATTCACTGCCATATCCCACCCTTCAAATCGATCTGAATATATTCAAGAGCAGATTAAAAGAGCATCTTCTGTCCTCATAAACTTATTATGTCTATGTATGTATATGTACGTATTTTGTATGTGAAGAGATATTTTATGTTTACGTATATATGTATTATTGTATATATTGATTTTTAATTATATGGGTTGCTTTGTATATATGTCAACATATTTATTGCATACACACTGCCCACTGGTAATTAATGCTCCATTCCACTCAAAGTTTGCTGGAAAAGAACTCTTACAAAGTTAAGCTCGCCTGTTGTATATCTTTATTTTATATATATTATAACTGCTGGATAAGTGGTAGGAATATTTAGATATTTTTTTGTAAATAATATCGTAGTAATTATTATAAATGGGAAAAATAGTGAGAATGTATTGATGAACGGGTGTTGGTTACTCTTTTATGAGATAACTACCGAACCGATTTGAATAAAATTTGATACACGGATAGATTATTCCTAATTTATTAAACAGAATACTTTAAGTACTGATTCTAGCGGGCGATGTTGTAAAATGGAAAATATTCAGACAAGTACAAAAAAGACTAGTAAAAACAATGTTCAAATTGTATAAAGAAGGAATTTGTGACCATCGGAAGGTGAGGCGTAGGTGGTAAACCTCTTTACCACTAAAGTTGTCAAGAATAATGAAACATAGAAGTTTAGATATATCTAACATACAGTAAAAAGAACGATCTTCCACTAGATGTAGTGACGACTCGAATTGCATTGTAGGGAGGTATTGACGGTTTGAGACTGTTCCTTATGAGTCTATAAGGGAGGAGTATGTTCAGCGGTGGAGAGTTAAGGGCTGGTTTATTCATTTGTTTATACAAGATACATTAACAATATGTTCACAATAATTAAATAGAATAGACACAATGCTATAAATAAGCTTAAGACTAGATGGGCATATGAATTAGTGACGTATACAGCTCTCACAGATTAGTGTTAATTTATACTGAGGTAACAATCATGCAATTAGTAAAGACTTAATTATTAATCTATACTATTAATAAGCTTAATAAATTGCATTAAGAAATTATCAAAGATGTCAATATTTTGGTTAATGTTTACAGCTTTATTATAACATGATATCATTCTGTCGATGGGAGAATTGGATCCTAAGTTATTTGGATAAGGTGGGCTGATATAACGATGATGATTATATTGAAAAAATACTAGTAAAATCTTATTTATTTATTTATTTTTTAATGTACACAAAAATTACAAACATATAATACAAATTCTGCTTAGTTTGTGAGTTGATAAAGGTGCGTAATATGTTCAGTAATGTTAAATAACTTATTTTGCCTTTGGTGGACGTATGTGATTGGATATCTAGATAGATTCATGCACAAACAATGTATTTTACAGGCACTTTCTCCCTCAAATAACACTCTATTCTCTATTTATTTTATAATCTATTGTCTTTACTTCGCTTCAATATAATTCAATGACTTCTGAAACCTTGTGTTGGAAAATAACATTATTTATTTTATTTATTATATATCTGGCGATTACAAAGTTGATATTAATATTTTAATTTGTATGTGGCAACACTACATAATCAAATTCAATCCAGTCTATAATTGTTTGCGTGTTCGCAATTGATATAATAAGCAAACGAAGTGGCAATAGTCTGGTTACATAGCTCGAAGCACCTACAACCGATTGAGAAGAAATATTTTTGAGTGACGACCCCGAACAAGTAAATGCAGTGTAGGATACCTTCCCCCCCTCACTAGATGTAACGGTAACCTCAAATTTATTGTATTGCAGGGCTTCAGCGGATGCAGGTGGCTCAGGATCTGAGAATATGTTTTATATTAGACTGTTAACGCCTGAAACGGAATTAAAATAATAATTATTCACTCTAAAAATGTTATTTAACTTATTCAAAAACCTATCTAGCCATTCGTACATGATCCGTGTACCTTCAAAGAATAACATAACACCTTGTATTTGTAAATATTATGCCGAAACATCAATTTCTTTAGTATCTATTCGTACTACTATGGAGGTCCGAAAGTGACCCAGATAGCCTCATGATTATATTATCAATAACTCATTACTGTAGACACAGACAACATAATTCTACCTCAGATGACACCATGACGTCTATTTAGAGGCACTGACAACACCAAACTAATAAGCACCTATGCAATATATAATTAAATTAATCCCAACACATAGAATAATCACAATTGTGCAATGCGATCATCAATTGTGAAATGGAACGATACGGAATCGTGTCATAAGAAATATAGTTTTCCATAAGCATAACATTATAATGCAATATAGAGATGTTTTCCATAGTTCAACAGTTATCGACAATTAAGTAAACATTTTATCTATCATTAATATACAAAATATAGGTAAATTTCTTACTACAAATAGGTGCAACGAAAACTGGTCATCGAAACCAGTTTGAAATAGTAGCAGTGGGCCAATTGGCACCTGAGAACAATTCAACTTCAGTTTTATCAACACAAACTATGTACGTTCGTACTATTGTTTATTGGTTGAACAGAGTTTGTCAGAAATGGAGTACCCACCTAAATTCTCAAATGAAGATCTAGATAGATAGACAACTTAATTAAATTAAAAATGTAATGTAAATTAATAATGCAACTTTAAATGGTAAAGAAGATAACCTAATCATTTATTTTTATACAACTTAGAATGGCAAACAAGCTGCTGGCCCACCTGATAGAAAGTGGTAACCGTCGCCTATAAACATGAGCAGTACCACGGACATAACAGAGTATACTGTTTCGCCCATGATACCCCCCATGCGTTGCCATTCCTGAGGACTCAGGTGTTATTCCTCTGTATCCTGTAAATTTACACCATATCCCACCCTTTAAACCGAAATACAGCCATGCAAAGCACAACTGCTTCACGGTAGAAACACGAATGGGACAGAGGTACCCAAGCAATCGACTTTTGTACAAAGTTTCCCTCTGGTAATCATTCCTCCTCTCGTATTACCTTTCACTGGTTTTTCACATAAATGTTTATATCTATTTATGATATGTTTATTTATATCTATTAAAAAAAGTATATATAAAAAACTTCGTCTGGTATAGATGTATTTGGTAACAGATCCATTAGATAGGACAGACAATACAATGAATGGACACCATTAATTATTTTAAGGACACTAAATAGTCTCTTTCGTTAGTTTTGCAACGCGTTACGCCATTAGAAAGTGACTCAGAGTTCCTGCTGGCAAGCCTTAAAAGAATAAAACAAGTACATACTTAGTTAACATAAGCACCATTCGGCTTGCGTGTAAAGAATCCACACATTAATTTAGTTCGCGAATCGTGTGACAGTTGTGGGTTGCGCGTGACTTGATAACTTTAATTGATACCTAGATACAGACGTAAGAAAAACTAGGTAGTTTTTAAAATAAAAACAATTATTCTAGATCTAAATAGGCATTTGAAGATGTTTATGAAACGCTCGTTACGTATTAAGAACATGTTTCTATACATTTTGAAATGGTAAAGTCTCAATAGATAGAAGGTTGTTTTTTTTTAATGGATGATAATGTAATGATAACCTCGCCCGTGCTACCGGTATACACTAGCGGGGCACTAGTGAGGAATGATAGGTGCAGATAAAAAGGTCACATCTGGGTTTCAGTATGATGAATCCCAGAGGGGACTACGTGGAGGTCGATCTGACAGGGTATACTAGTTATGAGACTGGTCCCATAGCTAGCAATCAGAAGTCCACATTACTTTAAAGGATTGTTAATCAATGTGTGGATAACAGACGTCATTTTAGCAATTTTTACTGTTACTGTTAAAAAACTGTATTAAATGAAATTTCAGCAATTAGGATGTCTTTTAGTTATTTATTCCGATTATTAAATTGGAACTGATGGGTACTTTCTTGCAATTAAATGTGGTGTCGAGTTTGTAAATTAGGTTTTAGTATTTTTGTTTTAGTAAATTGCACCATACTACACGCGAAAATGATCGTTTATTTATAAATAATGACCAACATATTCTAAAGTATTGAAAACTGCTTCAAGATATCGGTCTAGTTTCTATTGGTGGCCACGAAATATTTATCCTAAAAGCACCAATGTTTATATATCTTTAGCTCTCCTTCTATGATTACATTACATTCGTCTTAAATTGTCGACACTCTATCTAACATATCACTCACTTAAACTGTCATACACTGACTGACTTGCCTGATGTCAAACTCAGGTGCTGTCAATCATAGAATTTGTCATCGAAATAATTTTGTATATACGGTTTTCTAAAAATATTTTCGTGTTAAATTCTTTAATAAATCATGGCTTATTTAACTCAGCCAGATTATGTTAAATATATTTGTTCATGTGGACAATTGAAACCAATCACAAGTTTATATTTTTGTCGGCATTGCTTGAAAATTCGATGCGGATTTTGTATTTGTCATGAGGTATACCAATATTTACTTTTTAATTTATATTTAAAAAAATCTATAAAACTATAAAGAAAACATCTCGAAAATTAATGTTAATAAGGTTTGTATTGCTTAAACTTATTTGTTCATTTAGTAAAATATCGGTAAGTCTGTCAAAGGAGGTACTCTGACACACCTTTATATGTTAGGTAGTACCTGTATTGTGCTGTATTGTTATTATACCTTCAGCACAACAGATAGAGCTCCGTATGCAGTATTACTTCAATGTTGCTAAATGAACAAAGCAAATGGAAAAACAGGTGCATTGTATTCTAGATCTGAGTCAATTTCCTAAATGTAGGTTACATTTGAGATTGTATAGACATTATTCTATACATAATTACAAATTATAATGTATTTATTCATTGGAAAATTACCTACAGTTTATAGATGATTAAACTCCAACACATTACAGGCAATTCTAATTTTCTAATAAAATAAAATTATAAGGAATATTTTAATTTTATAAAATACTATGTTAATTCTGTAATTTGTTTCTACAATATATTAAAATGCACTTATGAGTAATCTTAATTATAAAACACTAGTTTCAATAGAATGCACTATATTATTTAATAAGTAATAAATTATTTATTACAATATATAGTTCATTTGTGTTCCAAAATCCATTAATTCCAACATGATCTATTAAAAAACATTCAAACTTATTTACAAACTCTTTAGTTAGTAAAGGAAAAGTGGTCTTTTCACCAGCAACTTACTTACAATTCCTCCAATGTTGGTGGTGCCTATGGGCAGTGGTAATCACTTACAATTTATTTTATCAGGTGGATTCCCATTATTGTGCAAACTGTCTGGAAAACATGCCATCTTCTGAAGCTCGGTTGAAGAAAAACCGGTGTAGCAGCTGTTTTGACTGCCCCAGTTGTTTTCACACTCTCTCGACGCGTGCTACCCTGGCCCAGCCCCGACAGGCGGCTCAGGATGCGGCAGCAGGCGGCGACACTAAGGTGGAGAATAAGCAGCCTAAAAAGATGTACTACTTGTCATGTTTTAATTGTAGATGGACATCCAGGGATGTTGGAATTCCAGACCAACCTGTTGGTAAGTATATTCTAAGAAATTAATTAAAAATATGTCAGCTGTTTTGTCATTTTTTTTTTTACACTACATAATCAGAATTAATTTTATTTATATAGTAGATTTCGCCGTGTGTGTCCCGGCATAGAATAGGTCACCCCTTCCTATCTCATGGGTGTCATAAGAGACAGCACTCATAAGACATCTCTAAAAGCTTAACTGCAGGCAAAACTCCTCTTATGGGGAAGGCTTATGTTCAACAGTGGACAGTTAATAGCTAAAATAATAATAATATAGTAGACTATACAAAATATTGTTTAAATTTTTTTTTTGGTATTCTAGTGTTACAGTTTACTATAGTTACTTTAACCACAAACATAGCAAACAAGCATACTGCCCATCTAATGGCAAAATATTTCTATAACTTGTGGATGCTTGCTACACCAAGTGTGTCATGCATGCACCAAACCTGAAAAAACCATTAATATCGTTTTTAGAGAAATTCTTACTGTAATTTTTAGTGAAAATCTTTACTGGGTGCTCAGTCCACAATTTGATCATTGATATTCCTGTTAAAGAACTAAATAATTATTTTTATATGTATAGCATCAGGTGGATGGCCAGAAAGAACCAACCCCTTCACAACTCGAATGAACCAACTGCTAGACTACTACAAGGCTATAGCCCAGCAAGAGAAACAGGAGAAACTCGAGCGGGAGAGGAAGAAGTTTGCTATTAGAGGGAAATATATTACACTTACTGTGAGTATGTTTTGAAAGTCTTAATAAGTCAAAATAATATGATGACACTTGACTATGTTTACCACCATTAACTTGGTTAGATTAAAAAAATTTAGTTAAACTAATAATTTATCCATTATCTATGTTGTAGTAAATTAAATTATTAATGAATTGATTTTCAAAAACAGCAAAATAAATAATTTTTAATCTCATTAAATTTATGTCTTTAAATTTAGTATATTAATATCTTTTAATAGTAAATTATCTTAATATATATTATTTTTTATACAGTAATTATGTGTCAATTTGTATTTCGAACTAAGTCTTTCAAATATAGAGCATATTGGAATCTAACGTAACAGTAGGCGAGCCTACTGCCGCTATACGTATTCGAATTAATTTGTTTTGTTAACAGTTCTCAATCAGTGGAAACTAAGTAGAATTTAAAATATCACGTCATACATTCAAGATTGTTTATTTATGAAACACGTGTAGAAATACATGCAGATGTTAACAATACAATTTTGTTTGACATCTTTAGCCATATAGGCATACAAAAATATGTAAATACATAGTTCAAAATTACATATACAAGTCAATTTCATATTATATTCAGATTTAATAATTATAAAATATCCTACCTGCTAAGTCAAGATATAATCTACTTGTGCACCAAATTTCATTTAAATTTATTCAGGAGGAGTGCATGATACAGTTAAAAATATTCATTTATACGTTTTTCCATATTTTAGTGATCGACATAAAATAACTTTCTGCTTCTCTTGTTAATATTATATTCCACAATACCATTCTCTTAGACGTTCCGAATACGACTGCCCTTTCCAAAAGGGTATCGCCATTTTTATATTAATTGATTACTACCACCGGGTCGTTGAATGACTGGTTTAATTTTATAAATCCATTAATTATTATGAGAATAAATTTGTAATATTTATAAAAATGTATATAAAATTATGAAATACAAAAATATAATATTTATAACGTATTTTAAATTTGTTAATTGAATTTTTTTTTAACGTATTAATAATAAAAAGTGATTTGATGTAATTTAAACACTAAATTAATATAATCTTACATACAATCATACATCATTTTAAATTTTCACATTTATAACATTAATAGAAAATTAATAAGACGTTAGTACTCACTGTATGAGGCATGTGTGATAATGGAATGGTAACCCCGTCTGCGCTATCGGGATACGCTAGTGGGGCACCAGTGAAGGGTGACAGGTGAGGATGAAAAGGTAGGTCAGTTAGCCCATCGTGACGAATCCTACTAGAATTAATCACGACGGTTTCCAGGGGGAACCACGTGGAGGTCGACCTGATAGGGTGTATTACTAGCAATGGGTTAATTAGACCCCATTACTAACAATCCCTTCCCCCCCAATACTTACTATATGCATTATGAATGTATTACAAAGAGATGAACAAAACCAGGATAAGACCGGGCTGACCGGTGCGATGGCGCGTAACATAGCGGGCTTGCCGTCCAGCGACGGCGGCTCGTCCTCCGCAATCGCCAACTTCGTCGCCAGCCAGGCCAGCGAGGATGTGGACGAGCTGCCGGAGGACATATACACTAAGGAGGTCAACTTGAAACAAAGTTAGTAGGTTTTAATCTAATAACTACCGGTTTAACATATACACGAAGAGTTTGGAACCTATTTTTTCTTATCTGTGACGAGACTGCAAGCGATCTATGCGCAAGCGAAGTGAGCATCACAGAATACACTGTGACGCCCATGCTACCTCATACGCATTGTCATTCCTGAAGACTATGTGTTTGCTATAATATTAATAAATACTCCGGTTGATGCAGTTAGAGTATTTAATATATTTATCGTTTTTAGTTTTACTTTAAGTAGATATAATAAGATTTACAGGGCGGAAAGAGATTGTTAGCAATGGAGTTTGACAGCCCCATTGCTAGCAATATGCTCTATTAGGTCAACCTCCACGTGGTTCCCCCTGGAAACCATCGTGAACAATTCTTGTTGAATTCGTCAAGATGGGCTAACTGACCTGCTTCATTCTCACCTATCATCATCACTGGTGCCCCGCCAGTGTATACCGATAGCGCGGGTGGGGTTACCATTCCATTGTCACCCATTAAAAAAAAAAAAGATTTACAGAGCAACAATAAGACAGTCTTATAGTAGTAAAGTATATAGTGGCATACAGAGGGCGTCTCAACCGCGCGATGAATACAAAAATTTGTATAGTAATAAGGCGACCGTTGCGCTGTATTAATATACATGGCCTACCCACTACGTTCATGCTAGTCCGCCATTGTCTAGACATGTATTAGTGTTAATACTATGGTATTACACTTTAATTACCCTTATCCTGTAATTTCACTGCCATATCCCACCCTTCAAACCGAAACAAAGTTATACAAGTATAGCTGTTCTATGACTTAACCTTTCTCTGCATGATTTGTTTTTATTGGTGAAATAAATCAAGGTTTAAAATTTTATTTCATGTTTAAAATTAAAGGAAAAATGGTTATAAAAATAAATTTGACAGCTATGTTTTTTTTTCTGTAATGGTCATTAAAAAGGTATCCAGACACGATCAACTTATATGTGATAAAGTGAACTAGTCCTTTTATATAATTTTATGATGAAAATTTCAAATGCAAAGAAAAAATTATGCAAAGCAGGGTTAAATATGATTGGGACACATGTACCCTAACTTGACGACTTTTGTACAAAGTCTCTCTCAGGTATATCCATGCTGTTCTGATATCGGCAATGCTATGTTTACAAATGATGGCATCATTTATCGTTTACAGCTTGATGCTATTTTATGTTGCCTTAAAAATGACACCTAATACCTGTTTACTACTCAACGACCCTGTTTTTTTAATGGGTGAGAATAAAATGGTAACTTCGCCTGCGCTGTCGGGGCATCAGTGAAAGATGATGGGTGAGGATGAAAGCAGATCAGTTAGCCCATCGTCACGAATTCCACAATAATTAACCATAATGGTTTCCAGGGGAAACCGCATGGAGGTCGATCTAATAGGGTATATTGCTAGCAATGGGACTATTAGACCCCACTACTAACAATCCCTTTCCCCCCTCAATGACCCTGTTGTGTTCCAGTAACGAGCATGGCGCAGCGGCTGGCGTCGCCCGAGTGGCAGCCGGCCACGGTGTCGCGGCTGCATCCGCTCGCCAAGCTGCTGAGCGTCAAGCGCAGCCAACGCTGCAGGGCCTGCGACCACAACCTCACCAAGCCCGAGTACAACCCGGGCTCTATCAAGTTCAAGATCGAACTACTCGCCTAGTGAGTATTCTTTTATTACCTACCACTTTGTCGCGTAACAAACTTCATCATCATCATCATCATCATATCAGTCCTTAACTGTCCACTGACGAACATAAACCTCCCCCAAGGGGGGGTTTTCCCAGTAGTTGCCACGCTTGGCAGTCGGATTGGCAACCACAGTTACGCTTTAGAAATGTTTTAAGACGGACGCTGCTGCCCATCCCTCGCTCTCCTTAATCACCTCTTACGACACCCTCAGAAATGGAAGGAGTGGCCTATTCTATACCGGAACCACATGGCCAATAACATATTTACTTACATATATAAATAAGTAAATAAATATATTAGTAAAGCCTATGCTGTGTACACATTGTAGAGGATGGTTCCAAGCTATATCCAACCACTAAGTCCCTGCAACACAAATGAGATCTTGCAGGGGCTCGTCCTACATTGCGTTTGTCTGTACAAGGTCACCACATGAGACCCTTTTTTTTCTGTGTTCTTTTTGACTATCAAAAGGCGTATATTTCAATGGACAATTAACGGTTGAAAATTATAATATGTAAACAAGTCTATCTTAAGTAAAAAAAATTATGTAATAAGATTAGAATAAACTAGCAGCCACATTGTTAGCAATTCTTATAAGATTTGTTTTAATGGGTGATATTGGAATGGTAACCCCGCCTGCGTTATCGATATACTCTAGCGGGGCACCAGTGAGGGATGATGGGTGAGGATAAAAGCAGATCAGTTAGCCCATCGTAACGAATTCCACTAGTATTAACCACGATGGTTTCCAGGGAGAACCGCGTGGAGGTCGACCTGATAAGGTGTATTGCTGGCAATGAGTCAGTTAGACCCCTTTACTAACAATCAGAAGGAGATTTTGTACAAAAATCGATTGCTTGGATACCTCTGTCCCATTCGTGTTTCTACTGTGAACCAGTTGTGTTTGCATGGCTGTGTTTCAGTTTGAAGGGTGGGATATGGCGTTAATTTACAGGCTAAAGAGGAATAACACCTGAGTCCTTAGGAATGGCAACGCATGGGGGGTATCATGGGCGAAACAGTATACTCTGTTATGTCCATAGTACTGCTCATGTCTATAGGCGACGGTTTTCCATCAGGTGGGCCATCAACTTGTTTGCCATTCTAAGTTGTATAAAAAAAAATCACTTTCCCCCTCTTATAAGATGTTAGGTGGACCTAATCGCGCTCCCCCTTGTAAACCATCATTGTTGATTTCTGGTAAAAGTGCTAACTGCCGTGACTTCATCTTCACCAGTAACCTCTCACTAATACCTCACCATCATGTATTATGGTATTTTTACCCAATAAAAAAAAATGTTTTTACAGTTATCACGTTCCAGAAGTGAAGGTGATATCATTTGAGACCATAAAACCTGGTGAGAAGTCAGCTTTATTGATCAAGCTGACAAACCCGACTGGGCACGAGATGCAGGTGCGCCTACTGCAGCCTGAGGACTTACCGCAGCCCGAGGAACGAGAGGAACCTAAGAGCATAGAGAAATCTCTGGAAAAATCGCTTAATTTAGAAAAGGTGAGTGGAGTCATTATTAACGTCACAAATCTCGTGTGCATACTCTATGCCTAGCTGCTGGCTGAAAATGAAATAGTACTGGTTACTTGATTAGAATTTTATTTTTGTTTTTATTTTATTTGTTTCTCTGTTTTTCTTGTTTATATTTCTGACGCACACTTGTGTTTATTTGCTGTTACCAACTTGAGCTGCGATTTGTTACAGCAGAGATTAGAATTATTTTGTTATACTATATTTTGGAATCACCTTAGATATCCATGGTGCTGCTCATGTTTATAGACAATGGTTGCTTGCTATTCTAAGTATTATAAAAACACTTGTAATGTATTGTCCAGGAACCGCTACCCGAGACCGTTCCAGATAAACCCAGCGGCGTCCGCGTACCGGCAAGTAGTCGCGTGTGTCCCCCAAGTATGACGCTGTCTCTGCCCCAGCGCGACGACGCCGCCGAGTATGACGACGATGCGCACCACGACACTGACGAGTAAGTACTTTTAATTTATTTATCATACTTTGAGGAGAACATGCAGGATATGAACAAGCAAGCATGCGGCTCACCTGATGGTAAGTGACTACCGCCGCCCATGATCACTCACAACACCAGCGGCATTGCAGGTGTTCTGCCGGCCTTTTAAAAAGGAATATGCTCTTTTTTTGAATGTTAAGTTGTCGTATCGGTTCGGAAATACTGCAGCTGGAAGTTGATTTCAAAGAATGGTTGTGTATGGAAGAAAGTGCCTTGAAAAACACACGGTGGAGGACTATAAAATTCTATTGGAAATCGTCATTCATATTTCTAAGAAGATTCATAACTTAATATTAATTTAAAACTTTCGCGTGATTTACGTATATTTTAAATACACAATCGGGACTTAACGCGATGTAAAAGTCTTTACAGGTAAATTGATTGCACCATATTGTGACCACGACACAAAATTTGTAATATATAATACACATACGTGAATTTACAGGGTACAGAGGAATAACACCTGAGTCCTCAGGAATGGCAACGCATGGGGGGTATCATGGGCGAAACAGTATACTCTGTTATGTCCATGGTACTGCTCGTGTGTATAGGCGACGGTTACCACTTTCCATCAGGTGGGCCGTCAGCTTGTTTACCATTCTAAGTTGTATAAACTCAACCATCCGTTAAAAGATAATTAAAAAGATTAATTAAATTTTATTTCATAATCAATTTTTGATTAAAATTGAATGGTTCAAATATAATAATATGCTGGTACATTAACGTACAATTGAATTCCCCAGCGTCATCCTCTGGCGCAAATCGAACAAGATCGCGCTCAGGCTGGAGGTAGTGACAGAGTCGACAGTGGCGAGCGGCGTGCCCGCAAACGCGCTGCTGGCGCTCGAGTACTCGTACCGTAATACTGTGCCGCCGCCGCCCACCGCGGGCGGCACACTCGCCGGCACCACACCAGCACCGCGGGACCACACGCTCTACACCACCGTACTGTTGGACCTCGGCGTCGTCAGCGGTTAGCGGCATGTGATACTTGCTGACGTAACTTTTTAAATGCTTATCAATAATGACGTTTCATATTGGGCCCAGTTATAGTTTCCCATAAAAGGAAACAAACGTATTAGGATCATTGGAAGAATATAATAAAAATAATTTATTAAGTATATATCATATACCATTATAATGTTCCTTATATGTTTTGTTAACTACATTAGTGAACCCTAAACCGATCAAAATAAAGTTTAAAATTCACTATCGAAAAACATTAATTAAAAACAGTAGAAAATAAAGCCAAAACGGATTAATTATAATCATATAGTGTACATTTACTGGGCGTAGACTTCATATATTGCTGAAACATCTATCATCATCATAAGCCTGTAGTCCACTGGTGGACATAGCACCTCCTCCAAATAACGTCAATGAGCGCAGTATTCAGTTTTTTGCTTCTAGTCTTTGCATCTAACCCATATAACGTCGCTACACCAAGCTAGAGGTCGTTTGACACTGCGTTTACCAACTCGCGGTTTCCACTCCAGTTCTTGTCTACTACAATGGTTATAATTTTACTACATATCCGGCCCTTTGCCAATTCAGCTTGCAAGTTATTTGAACTAAGTTTTCTTCTGTAATCTTTTAGAAGAAATATCTATCTTTTAGAAGAAGTATTTATGTATCTAATATGTATAATTTATTCAGTTGCTAATTGATACGTAGTCACCATTCTGTCATTAATTACCAATTGGTTTTAAAATTAGCAACTAGACCACATTAATTGAAGCTGACTGTACGGATAAGGAGAAAATTATGTCCAAATACGTTTACCGTTTGAGACCTATCTCTAAACAGTCTATAACTTGGCAAATTTTTATTAAAAAATGAAATGGCAGCTTTTAAGCATGCTTAATGCAATTGCTTGTAGCACTGTTGTATATTCAATGACCATAAAGTGTGATAATAAATTAAATTTTGTTATGACACAATGAATTTTCATATTTGGAATAGCATAGTCAATCAATTTTTACATTTTTTTTTTTTTACAAAAACTACGTAAAAAGGAACGCCTTATTTTTATAACATTCTTTTTTTAAATGTACGTTTTAAACTTGTGTTTCTTCAACTGCAGCAAAACGTAGTTTTTTTGTCCCTTATCATGGCATATCAGTATTTTTAACGCTTGTTTAGTTTAAAGCATTTTTTAATCAGTCACTAAGTATGTTCGTATTTTATAATTATACTAAGGCAAGTGATCAACAATAAGCATGTAAGAAAAATAACCCAATTTCGAATATTTACATATAAAGTCACGCCTTTGTCTAATATAATAATAATATAAAATATAATAATAAGTCAAAGAGTGTGCCTAACTAATATTTTGCTTGTGAAATTAATTACATACAAAATTATTTATGAAAATGTATTAGTGTTGTGAATGCATTGACATAGATTCTGATTCAGGTAATTTTGAACATTCCGAATTAGTATTAAGACTGTTTTTCGTTTATCACACCTTTTAGTTGGTATTGCTACTACAAGTTGCAACACAAAGCTTCTTTGTGTATATATATATATATATGTATATATATATATATATATATATATATATATATATATATATATATATATATATATATATAGTCATAATATATTTTAATTATTTGTTTCATCCAGTGGGTGAGCCTTACAGTCTTCCAATACGCTCACCCAGGAAAGCATGAGTACAATAACATATAAAAAAGGAATATTACACAAAAATATTAAACAAAAAATAATATAAAAATATTTAACTGAAACAAAAAACGTCTGAACACAAATACTCTGTGGTCACTCGACGAAACTGCAGCAAGTTGGAGGCAAATACATCTAATTGCGGATACTAGGTCAAAATATCATTGAGTAATTTCAATGCAAGAGATAGGGGAGCCTGCTTAGCGAACTCTGTTCTTATGTCGGCTTTGCTTCACATTTTAAATTCAGGGATTTGCTTAATGAAAGAAAAAACTTAACAACAAACCAAAATAAACACTTTCTTATATGAAGATTATTTATCTACAGTTAGAAATAATTAAAAGTTTACCTGTGTAGTATTGATTTATTTTTAATTAGTTGCTGAATCAGAATACGTGCCAGTGTTGAGAGATTTTAGTTTTCTATTTATTTTTTTATTGGTTTATTTAAATTTAGATATAAGACAATTAGATAGGATATATCAAGTTCTCATTATAAATGTGCGATATACCTTTGTTTGTTGTATATTATAGTATATATGTATATATATATGTGTGTATATATATATATATATATATATATATATATATATATATATATATATATATATATATATATATATATATATATATATGTGTCACGGAAAGAACATATGTAACTTATGAGTTTTGATTTTTATTGTAAAAATTGTTTAAAATATAGCATATATAATATATTTTATGAAATTTTATATAAAACAAAAATATCAAGTTCACAATCACACTAAATCCTCTTATTGATAAAAAAGTCCAACCTCTCATATAGATATTGAACTGTTTTGGTCTCTTTCTTTCGTGTTATATTCTCAATTTGAAAGAAAGTGATAATGCTATAGTTAAAATAGGTTTGTAGGGGTTAGATTTTATGAATAAGGGGATGAGTTTGTTACGGTGTTGCAGGTAAACACTTACTGGGATTGATTCGGAGGCACCATTACTCTAAACCTATCTCTAAATCTAAAATTCTAATTTAATGCCACCCAATCGTGTTTCTACCGTGAAGCAGTTGTGTTTGCATGGCTGTGTTTCGGTTTGAAGGGTGGGATATGGCGTGAATTTACAGGGTACAGAGGAATAACATCTGAGTCCTTAGGAATGGCAACGCATGGGGGTATCATGGACGAAACAATATAGTCTGTAATGTCCATGGTACTGCTCATGTCTATAGGCGATGGTTACCATTTTCCATCAGGTGGGCCGTCAGCTTGTTTGCTATTCTAAGTTGTATAAAAAAAAAAAACAATTTTTATTCTAAGGACCAATAATGACTAAATGTCTAATATTTAAGTAGAAGTTATTAGTTTATTATGGTCCATAAAGCATATATTTTGCAAAATTATCAAGTTAAAATATTAAGAGGTAAATTTAGAAAATAATGTCTCTGCATCGACCACACTGCCTAATCTTTTTTTTTTTTTTTATTATTTAAACTAGTGACGAAAACCATAATTAAAAAAAAAAAGATTAGTATCATTTAGCTTGTTTTAATATATAACAAAATATATATAAACATTACAGGAAATATAAATTTTCATATATTATTGCTTTGAATATATGGTACAGAAGTATTATTATATCCACTTGCACATATTGTATAGTAGCTGAAAACTCAAAGGATATTTAAGAGCAACCAATAAATTATTTAAATGCTTAATTTTGTTTTATTGTACATTGCAACACCCAAACATTTTTTTACTCTTTAATAAATAAAATATATAATAATAATAATAAACTCTTTATTGCGCACAGTAGAAATGTATACAAGGAGTATTTATACAGAATGTGCATATACAAAAGGCGGCCTTATCGCTAAAAGCAGTCTCTTACAGACAACCTATATATATTATTGTAATAATAATTTTATAAAAACAAGATCATTTTTGTGTCTTTCAACAAACCAAACAAGCAAATGTACAAGCTTTACAAGCAAGTCAAAAACAAAAAACAAATGGTGAGCTAACCAGCTAACCATTAAGTAAAAATAGAAAGTGTCTAAGGGCAGTGGTGGCAAATATTGCATTTAAAATACACCTATTCATATAAAATTGTATAATTACTGCTATCCTGTCTCAAATATACATGTAAAAGTTTAAAAAGGGAACAGCCTCCTATAGCTAAAAAAAGCCATAACTTAATAGAACTATCAAAAGGTGTTAATGGGGGGAAAGGGAGTGTTAGTAATGGAGACTGAGAATCCCATTGCTAGCAATATACCCAACCAATGTAAGAAAGACTCTGTTTTCCGCACTTAGCCTCTCATTTGGGCCGTTGTGCGAAATACACCGTATACCCAACCAAGTCGACAGCCTCGTGGTTCCGCCTGGAAACTATTATGGTTAATTCCTTATGAATTCATCATGATGGGCTAACTAGCCTGTTTTCATTCTCATCTATCACCCTTCACTGGTGTTACGCCAGCATATCCCGTTAGCGCAGGCGGGGTTACCATACCATTTTCAACTATCAATAAAAATAGATGTTAATATTAATCATCATTTGTTCATTTTACAAATTTAAAATTTTCTATCAGAAATAAAACTAACAAAAATAACTACTCTCCTTAGATCTACTGTCATACTTCAATGATTACTGTCATTGGGAGCCAACTGGATGAGAATATATCAATTTAAAAACAAATAATAAAATATTTTTTTCACTTTTTGTTTTATTTCATAAAATCTATAAATTTTGACACCTATTTTCATTTGGTATAAAAATATCAAGTCTTATTTTTTATGCCTTATGGACATATTAAATAGACCATAATGGCATCTTAATTACATTAAAAAAGAAATACCCTGTTGTATATAAAAATTATAAAATTTTAATAATTTACTATATTAATAGTTTATAAATATTTAAAGCTTTATCGTGAAAGAACACAACTGTGAAATACGTCTAATCTCATTTGTATATGCAGTCTCCTTTAATCTGTGTCTTTGCTGAGTATACCACATCATTTATACCAACACCATCATAACTACTACCAACTAGTGATATAGGCAAATTGTTATTTTGTATGTACTGTCTGATCTTCTCTACTCTCTCATAATGCCCGATCACATACTGAGGAATGCATTTATTCAAAATACTAACATTGTACACAGATGGATTCTCTTTTATATTCAAAATTTTCTTAATTTCCTGCATTGCTATATCAAATAATTTCTTTTCAGTGGCATCATCTCCAAATTTCTCTTTGAACCATCTGCCACCCAGCATGACTGTTAATACTGTACCATTCTGATCTGGCATACAACAAGAGTCGAAAACAACACCTAATATTGGTGAATTTTCTATAGGCGGCACCAGGAATCCAAATGCTGGGCTTACAAGTTTATCTGCAGCAAAATATAAATTAACAATACCAACTGTCACAAACGGTATTTTATTTAAATATTTCGACAATTCAGGATGCTGTTTCTGAACAAGATTTGCAAGAGAATAAGCTGGTATGGAGGAGTAAACATGATTCGCCTTTAATGTCTCACCAGTACTATTCTTTAACAAAACAGTACCGGAGTCCACAAACTCTATCTCTTCAATCCTGGTGTTCAGATTTACATCAACTTCATTCTGTTTGAGAAATTCACAAAGTGTCACTGGGAATGTCTCGAGACCTCCTTTTATTGTGTATACATTCCATTTCTCTTCTTGTGATTTCTTTGCTAAATCGCTTAATTGAAGCTCTTCACCAGACTTTGATTTGAAAAGAGACCTCATCATCCCTTTGACTACACCGCCGTGGTTCTGTTCCCACTCAAACAAGGTTTTCATCAGAAACTTTACAGATATTTCTTTAGCATCACCAGCGCAGATACCACATATCATGGGTGCGATGGCGTAATCAGCTATTTCCTTTCCAAATCTCCTTTCAACGAAATTATAGATGGAATCGTCTTGTAATTCTTTATGTGGTTGTTTTATATCATTAAAAAGTGCATAAATGAGGGGTTTTGAAAATGGCAAATTTTTCTGGAAGACACCCTTCAAGTTTGAAGGCAAGACATGTAAGTTTTGATTGACATAGATCATCCGATTTTTCGCGGCGGGATGGTCTGCGCTAATAGGTGCTAAGTGCTCACTGAGGCCGAGATCCTGCATCATATTTAAAGTATTCAATCCGGTGATACCCTTAGGCCGTATAGTACGCGGTCCTTGCTCGAAAATATAGTCTTTTGTTCTAATAGACTTGATCCAACCGCCGCAATAGTTGGTTGCTTCTAATAAGAGTAACCGGAGATTATTGTTGTTGTTTACATTGTTTTTGAGCAAATAATATGCAGTTGACAGACCGCCCAGCCCCCCGCCTAGAATAGCTACCATTTTTAATTAATAGTATATTTTTTAATAATCTATTTAAAATGAAAATATTTCTTAAATGAAGCAAAATGCAATATATTTTGATACAACTTGAATTGTCAGATGATTGTCAAACAATCAAAAGTAGTTACGATTCAGGATTTGACATTTAGTTAGAAGTTGACAGTTCAAAATGTTACCAACTCTGTGTCAGATTTTCCAATGAAGTTGTATTTAAAAAAAAAGGGCTAACTAGATTAATCTAAAAATATGATAATCGGTTTTATCATTTACTTAATTTATTAAATAAAATGTAGAGTCTTGAGCATATTTTCTCTCTTCAGTCGTGCACTTTTGACCATTCTGGTCATAATTTTCATGAATTGTTTGTTATAAGCTCTAACCGGCGACTAAAGACCTCTTACGCAATGTCTCTTCGTCTATTTTTTGCTCTTCACAGTGAGAGAACTAATAAAATAAGACGAGAATATTTCACAATAGACTGCTGACATTGGCCCATTTCGTTGATGATCTATTGTTATTTATTTATTTTCACAATAAAACCAAAATAACAAACTGGCATACCAAAAACCATAGAAGCTTGTCTGGAATGCCATGCAGTTGATATGATAAATGTATAATATTCTTTATTGCACTTGTAAATTAGGTACATTGTTAATGTATTTATAAATATTGTATTGAATTACACGATACAGGCATGCATACCTAGTGTGTAATTTATAGTTAATCATCTATGTAAAAACCTTTTTGGCAAATAAATAATCCTTTTATTTCATTTCAAGGGTGAACTTAATTATCTACCTCAAGATTATTTATCATGTGATGACCTTAGTCGAATAATTTTTTTTTTTTAGAATTAACTAGATCACCATTTTCAATTTTCTTTTTTTTTTTTTTTATAAAACAGGATGCAAACGAGTATGCAGCTCACCTGACCTCACAACACCAAAGGCATTGCAGGTGCGCTGTCGGCCTTTTAAAAATGAATATGCTTTTTCCTTGAAGGTTATGATGATTGGTTCGGAAATATTGCTGCTGGAAATTGATTCCAAAGAATGGTTGTGCGTGGAAGAAAGTGCCTTGAAAAACGCACGATGGAAGACCGCCACTCGTCTAGATGGTTGGAATGAAACTTTAGTTTGATTAATATAAATATTGCTAAAATATTTGAGAATTCAGATTTGAACAATCGGCGACACTGCCCTTCTGATTTTGAATTCCATTAAAATGCAAACCTTAAAAATCCGAGCTGACGAGATAAACATAAATCCGTCAACTGTGCAGGCATCAAAATCGCAACAAACAATCAGCTACTAAATAATGGTCCCCATTGGAAGCGCGACGAGCCGTAAATGCGGGGACCCAGTTGCGTTGTCGCCCGCTGATAATGAATTTCAATTTCATACCTATTGCACACTTTAACGTTATATACCCACACTTCTATTTAGGATGGAAGGACTTCTAACTCCTTAGGAATATTCGTAGAGTGGTTAAATATTTTTTTTATATAGTCAAAGAGACCGCCGTGACCCAGTAATGTCGAAGCTCGACTTAGGAATATTCGTAGAGTGGTTATTAATAATTTAATTAATTTTTTTTTTTTTTTAAATAGGCAAAGAGAGCGCCGTGACCCAGTAATGTGGAAGCTCGACTTGTAGACTGCAAAACTAGACAGTTCCAATCTGGATGGAATCAAAAATTATGTGGTAATTTAAATTTGTAACAAATAACTAATTTTTGATGGAAAAGTCCTATATTTACCCAAATTAATTCGATTGACGGAGGTAGCCTTGCGGCTTGTCCTCTGCCATGATTGGTTCTAATATCGAAACACAGCATCTGCACGGTTGGAATAGGACAGGGGAAGGGATCGTATATATATATATATATAATTACTTTTTTTGTAATTAAAATGGACTATATGTGTGTGTATCATGGTCGACCTCCACGTATATAATATGGTTTGGAGGTCTAATGAACCAATTACTAGCAATACACTATCAGGTCGACCTCCACGTAGTTTCCCCAGGAGATCATCGTGAATAATTCTTGTTGAACTAGTCACGATGGGCTAACTGACCTGCTTCATCCTCACCTATCATCTCTCACTGGTGACCCGCCAGTGTATACCGATAGCGCGGGCGGGAATACCATTTCATTATCACCCATTAAAAAAAAAGTATATAATATGTCATAATTCACAAGCTACATACAAAAAACTTGAAGTAAAAAGTGTACCTTATTTTTCCCAACAAACTATACTGGATTTGTTGGATATTTCTTAACTCTATCCAAAAGGAACAAGTAGATTACACGCAGTATATAAACCCCGAGTAAGACTACAGCCTTTCCAATCGGTCGCGGGATTGCGGATTGCATCCTAATCGCAAAATGAGTCAAACCAACCAAAAAACATGTGAAAAGAAATTAAAAATAGCCGAACAGAAAGTTATTAAAATTCTCAATAAAATTGAATCCTTAAAATTAAATAATTCGTATATTTCCCAATTGGATTTTCAAGATAAAGTGAATGGGTATAAATTAAAAATTGGATATACAAAGTGTAACATTGTCTTATCCTTCATAATTCTGATGATTTCATTACTAAGTGTGAAATGGTTCTATGGTGAATTTACGACAAAGGTAAGTATTGTTTGTTTGAAAAGATTCTGTTTAATGGAGGTATTATAAAAGTAATTAAAGGTACTAATATTATTAATTGATATAACTCAAGTATCTAAATAAACTAGTAATACATATAACCCAGAGGGAGACTTTGTACAAAAGTCGATTGCTTGGGTACCTCTGCCCCATTCGTGTTTCTACCGTGAAGCAGTTGTGTTTGCATGGCTGTGTTTCGGTTTGAAGGATGGGATATGGCGTGAATTTACTGGGTACAGAGGAATAACACCTGAGTCCTCAGGAATGGCAACGCATCGGGGGTATCATGGGCGAAACAGTATACTCTGTTATTTCAATGGTACTGCTCATGTCTATAGGCGACGATTACCACTTTTCATCAGGTGGGCCGTCAGCTTGTTTGTCCTTCTAAGTTGTATAAAAAAAAGGCAAGTACAACGATCACCATAGTAGAGAAGAAGTATGTTTCTTTGCGTAAATGAAGTTTTGGGTTCGATTCTTGGTCATGGAAATTACTGCTCTGAGTTGTATCTTAAATGTTCATTATTTGGTCTCTCAATGCAGCCTAGCCTAGATTAAAGACTAGGTATTTATACCAAATAATTTTGTAAGTTTATTCAAAAAATCTGATACGTAGAACTGACTGTAGTAAGCTCGCGTTCCTACCACATTGGATTCTAATATGCTCGACTATATATGAGAATGTCGAATATTATTTTCAACACGATGGCAACAATTGACAAATGGCTCTGACTACACAATTCGGCCTTATATATGGGATACATGAAAGAAACACTAGGTGTCATGTCCTATAGGATGGTCAAAGATATGGCCTATAGAGTTGGCTGGAAGAAAATATATTAACTAGTTGCCCCGACAAGAGGTAAGTAGGGCCGTAGCTAGACCCAATTTCAGGTGAGGCAGAAGAACTTTTTAGTAGGGCAGAAGCCATTATTAAGTGACTTCAAAAAAGCGAATCTAATTTTCTTGGGGCCTTTCATTTTAAGGTAGGGCATTGTCCCACAATACCCCTCCACTCTGATTATGGCTGTGGAGGAAAGTCTTAAAAAAGACATATCAATATTAAAATTATTCATCTTTTCATTTCATCACACTAGAACTGCGCAGTGGAGCTACCTTCCAATTCGAAATCTCTGTTCCGACCGCCAGAGGACTGTTCCATGTGCATCGGAGTGGACGAGGTGGTTCGCCTCTCGAACGTATCCGCGCAAGAGTTCGAGGAGTCGTACGCATATGGAGCTACCCCTGTCATAGTTACAGATGCTACTGCCAATTGGAAAGCTATTGAAGTGAGTTATTATAAGATGATGACTGAGTGACAGCTTTGGCAATGGATGCAGTAGGCGAAGGGGGGAGATTGTTATTCATGTGAACTAGTGACCCCATTACTGGCATACCCTGTCAACCCCATACCCTGTCATATCAAATTTTTCGTAGTTTCTTCTCGAAACCATCGTGCTTAATTCCTATTGAAGTCATCACGAAAGGTCAACTAACCTGCTTTCATCAGGGGAAAGAGATTCTTAGTTATAAGGTTACAGCCTCATTGCTAACAATATATCTAGCAGGTCGATCTCCACGCGGTTTGTCCTGGAAACCATCGTGGTTAATTCTTGTGGAATTCGTCACGATGGGCTAACTGACCTGTCTACATTCTCATTTATCATCACTCACTGGTATCTCGCCAGCGTATACCGACAGCGTAGGCGGGGTTGCCATTCCATTACCATCCCTTAAAAATAATTTAAAAAAACTCGCTTTCATTCTCACTGGTGCTTTGTCAGCACATGCCGATAACATAGGCGGGGTTGTAATATGGAATTGTATTCCATTCATCATCATTTCAGCCATTATCCGTCCACTGCTGGACATAAGCCTTCCCTATAAACTGCCATAAAGAACGGTCCTGAGCCACCTGCATCTACTGACTCCCTGCAACGTATTTCAGGTCATCACTCCATTTAATGGGAGGGGGGGGTGATTTTTAGTAATGGAGACAGGAATCCCATAGCTAGCAATATACCCAACCAGGTCGACCTGCTCGCGGTTTTCCTTGGAAACTATCATGATTAATTCCTAATGAATTCATCATGATGGGCTAACTGGCCTGTTTTCAACCTCATCAATCACCCGTCACTGGTGCCCCGCCAGCGTATCCCGTTAGCGCAGGCCGGTTCTTCGAGCTATGTGTACAATTCCATTGTCATCCATTAATAACGTTTCCATGCAATTTCCGTTAAGTATATTGTTAATTTGTTTATGGAACATCGCATGTACAACATGTACCTATTTCATTACAGAACTTCACTTTCCAATTTTTCGCGAACTTCTACCGGACAGGCAAAATGGGCACACAGATAAACGACTGCTTCTATTTCGCGTACAAATCAGGATTGCAGTCCTTACAAGATGTGTTCAACATGGACGAGAGCAGAGCCAACCTGACTGGAGAGCCGTGGTACGTTGGGTGGAGCACGTGCTACGACGAGGAAACCAGGAAATTGAGAACATTCTACAGTCGACCGTACTTCCTACCGACGACAGCGGAGAGCGATATGGTGGACTGGATCTTCATGGGTGGGCCGGGACAGGGCGCGCATATGCACGTGAGCTAAATTTGTATTGTAGGTTACCTTGCTTTCAACTTGTTTTTATTTTCTTAGTTACTTAGCGTGAATTTACTGGGTACAGAGGAATAACACCTGAGTCCTCAGGAATGGCAACGCATGGAGAGTATCATGGGGGAAACAGTATACTCTGTTATGTCCATGGTACTGCTCATGTCTATAAGCGACGGTTACCATTTTCCATCAGGTGGGCTGTTAGCTTGTTTGCCATTCTAAGTTGTATAAAAAAAAAACTTTTTTATTTCGCGTTGTTTACACATATTTTAAAGACTAATACATAATTTAAATAATAAATAGTTCCTACATACTTGCTTCTTTATTGCTGACGTTTCGACGTGGATTGCACCACGTCGTGGTCACGACAGGACAGAAGTGAGCGGCGTCTTCGTCTGGCAGCTCGCGTAGTCTTCGGGTACCCTCACATTGTCACCATTATTATCTAGACCTACCCTACACACCGCACCCATGGTATCCACACTGAGTTTGAACAAATTATCGCGTGTTTTTAGTATAGGTACTAATCACTGGGCCTCATGCTGAAAACCTATATCCATCTTCCCAATTGAAATTTCTCGGATTTTTTCTAATTTCAATTGCTTCACTTACTATTCGAGGATAATAGTGACGCTCGGTAGATAGAACCTTCGGGTCAAGCAGCTCAATCCAGTATCCAAGTTCCGATTGTGTATTTAAAATACTAACTTGTCATAAGAACTAGGTTTACTGTATTAAATAATTTATTATGTTCATCTAAAGTATTGTAATTCTTGACTACCTAAATAAAATCTTACACGAATTACTGCTATAAGTTAGTTGCAAAGAAGGATGTTGTGTTACATTTTAAAGTTTAACGTACATATATGTATATATGGGTAACAATTAAAACTGGATAGGACTTTGCTATGATTTGAGATCATTTCATATGATGACCGGTTCATCGGTCATACTCGTAAAAAAGGAGTTTTTTGCAAATAGCACCACTATTTGCAAAAAGCACCTATTTTACACTCTACTTAATTAGGAATAATCTATTTGTACTTTACTCTAGGTACTTTACGTAACTTAAGTTTATATCCGGCTCGAAGGACCAAAATCTTGTCAAATCAATATATATGTGTGTGTATTATAAATATCTGCAGCGATAGTTTGTTCATCAACAGGTGGACTCCGTGAAGCACATGTCGTGGCAGGCGCAGATCCGTGGCCGCAAGCAGTGGGAGCTGGCGCCGCCGCCCGAGTGCCTCTACCATTGTAAGTGGATCACCTTCACTGTGTCACCAGGGGAGATACGTAAGTATTTTTTAAAACTTCATTCAGTAGTAATTTTAGGAGGTAAGAGAGGTCTGGCAGCGCCCAGGGGTGTCGAGATCATGATTTTAAAAAGGGTTTCAGTTTTTTCAAGGTTTTTTTTTTTGTTTGTTACCTTATAACTCCGTTAAACTAAAATTTCCATTGATATACTTACAGATTTATAGAAATTTTAATAAAATCAATTCAATAGTTTAATATTAAAATCCTAATAATTCAGTCAACAACAGAAGATGTTTTTTTTTTATGTAATATAATCTGAATTATCGAATCAATTAAAAACGTGAAAATTGTAAGAATATTACTTAGTGTTTACTCCTAATTACTCCTCTCCATCCAAAGGTTGCCTGGAAGAGATAGCTTTTAGCGATAAGGTCGCCCATTGTTGTCTCATTGTGATTATTTCTTGTAATTGTTCTATCTAGAATAAGTTTACTATTGTAATCTTTTGGAGAAAAGAATAAAGAGTATCGATCTATCTACGCATTGTTAGAACTTTATTGGCAATTTACTAGCTGTATCCCATGTACTGGTAAACACCTCATGGGTTACATTCTAATTTGATTAATAATCAAATAAAGATTCATCATCATCATCATATCATCATATCAGCCTTTTAACTGTCCACTGCTAAACATAAGCCTCTCCTTTGAGGTGTTTTACCAACAGTTGCCATGTTTGGCAAGCGAATTGGCAACCACAGTCAGGTTTTAGAGATGTTTTAAGAAAAACGCTGCTGCCTATCCCTCGTCCTCTCTTAATCGGCTCTTACAACGTCCTTGAGTAAAGAAGGGGTGGGCTATTCTATGCAGGGACCTCATAGCTATGGATATATAGAATTACTGTAATAATATTGTAATTTCAGTGGTGGTGGACACGAATAGATGGTATCACAAAACCAACGTGTTGCCAGGCGATATCAGCATCACCATCGGGGCGGAGTACGACTGAACTCGATCACCAGCTTCAAATATTTAGTATAATGTTGTATGTTTTAAAAGGCCTTTTTAAAAGGCAGGCAGCACACCTGCAATGCCGCTGGTGTTGTGGGTGATCATGGGCGGCGGTAGTCACTTACAATCAGGTGAGCCGCATGCTCGTTTGCCCTCTGTGTTGTAAAAAAAAATGTAATGACATTGTTTTCATGAGTATTTAAATACGTTTATCAGGCGTTTAGTGCCTGTAGTACAAGGTCTGCTTAGTTTAGGACTAGTTGACACAGGCCATGTGTTTAACATGTCCAAGGCGTGTTTATTTTTATAATTTCTGTAATCTATTATCACTACATGTTATATTTAAATAAAACTTATTCAATTGCAAAGATGTATTTATTAACTTCAAGAGCGCGAACATAAGTGGGAAACCAACCTGAAAAATTGCTAGTACATACATGTCGGGAGGAAAGGGCTTGTTAGTAATGGAGACTAAAAATCCCATTGCTAGCAATATACCCAACCAGGTCGACCTCCTCGCGGTTCCCCCTGGAAACTATCATGGTTAATTCCTGATGAATTCATCATGATGGGCTAACCCTTCACTGGTACCCCGCCAGCGTATCCCATTAGCGCAAGTGGAGTTACCATTCCATTTTCATCCACCAAAAAAAAAATACATATATGTCAACTTATGTCATCTGTCAATAGAGATGCGTTCCTTTTATACATATTTAAACAAGATCTTACACTACGTAGTATAAAACAAAGTCGCTGTCTGTCCGTCCCTATGTATGATTAAATCTTTAAAACTACGCAACGGATTTTGAAGCGGTTTTTTTAATAGATAGACTGATTCAAGAGGAAGGTTTATATGTATAATACATGCATAATATAGTAGAGGAACACTGATAATTTTAGAAGTTTCTAATGCGATGTCGTAATTTAATGCGGGGCCCGCGGCGGTATTCAGTATCAGCATTTTTCATCCTTCAGGTCAGGTCAGGCAGGTCAGTTAGTCATGGTACTGCTCATGTCTATAGGCGACAGTTACCACTTTCCATCAGGTGGACCGTCAGCTTGTTTGCCATTCAAAAAAAACCTCTTACGACACCCGGGAAATGGAATGGCCCGTTCTAAACCGTGACCAGACGGCCTACATATTAACCTACAAATTGTAGATGGCTATTTAAATAAAACAAACACGATATTCTACGAGAACAATCTTTATTTGTTACCACTACACCTACGTGACGCGCGTGCAGAACATTGCTCCGAACAAATTACATGACAACAATTGGAATGACAAAGTTATATAATCATTCATCAATTACAGTAAAAGAGAGCCTCTGGTATGGAATTTTAAATTATTTAAGTACACATCGAAAATTGGGTAACAAAATGAATAAAGTAACATTCGTTCCACGTGTTTATTACATACAAAAACATGTTTTTAATTCCAGTCAATTTTATCTTCAACACAAAAAGTCTACGCATATTAAATTCAGTATAGCGCGACAATTTTGTGTGTAGCACTACAGTTTGATATCGTTTGATTTATGCACCGTAAGAAATACGTATGGGGAGTAAATTACACTATCTGCGAGTAGACGTGGGTTCCCCTTCACTGTTATAGTCTCATATTCCGTTCACACCTTACATTGCAGCCCACGCATTCACAAGAAAGTGCTACATATGAAATTGTCGAGTTATACTATTGAGGATACATCATTTCGACTAACACACTAGATTTTGACAAGTGTGTTCGAATAGAAAATATACAAAAGAATTACTTACATGATGTACACAGTTTACAAAGTAAAAAAGACTTTAATATATTTCTATAACTCTAAGGGTATTCCATCATTTAAATATAATAAATACCAGTGGCGGACTAAGGCCTAAGGAGGTGGCAAAACTGAATGTGGCACCAAAAAAGTTGATATAATTTTACATGGTTTTTTTTATACAACTTAGAATGGCAAACAAGCTGACGGTGCACCTGATGAAAAGTGGTAACCGTCGCCTTTAGACATGAGCAGTACCATGGACATAACAGAGTGTACTGTTTCGCCCATGATACCCACCATGCGTTGCCTTTCCTGAGGACTCAGGTATTATTCCTCTGTACCCAGTAAATTCACACTTCAAACCGAAACACAGCCATGCAAACACAACTGCTTCACGGTTGAAACACGAATGGGACAGAGGTACCCAAGCAATCGACTTTTGTACAAAGTCTCCCCCTGTTCACATTCTTATTCAGTTCACATTTGTATGTATAAGTGTTTATTTAATTAAAATCTTGTAAGTGAAATTTAATTTACATTGAAATATATAAAAAATACATAGAATGTGGGCATGGAAGAAGATGTCTGAAGGCCCCCAGGGCCAGAGGCCTGGCACGGGCCGCCCCTCCCGCTCACCCTTTAATCCACCACTGATAAACTAACATTTGCTTCAGTTGTAAGCCAAATTTGACTGAAACTATTTAAATAAATAAAAAAAAAAAGTAATAATTTTCCTAACAAAATACAAAAAACATTAAACACTGTTTTGGCAATGAATTAATTATTTACTTAAGTTTTATACGAAATTTCAATAGTTTATAGACAATAATTGAGTACATTTGACTTAAACTATAGTCTGTATTACTGTAACCATACATTGAGTGGGCAGAACAAATTTCTATCTTCACATTTTTCAATTGAATGTCGTCGAGAAATTACTTCTAAGGCAAGAAACCATTGCAGCATTATACACTAAAATACGTAGTATTAGTGATTAAATAGACAACGATGAATACCTACGTTTATTAAATAAATTAAAGAGATATATATACTGCATCGTAGTGCTTCCATCGAAGCCTTATTTCATTATATACGTACTTCCATATTTATAAAAACATTAGTAATAACATTTAGCTATTGAAATGTTTTGTCCTTGTCTTTCGAACTCAATTCATAATGTAAAAGAAAGCGACAAAAATACACTAAGTTATTTAAAAAAAAAACAGGTAGCAAATGATCATGCAGCTCACCTGATGGTAAGTGATTACTGCCACCTATAGGCACATGCAATGTCAAAGAAATTGCAAGCTGCCAGTCTTTTAAGAAGTAACATGCGAGGCTATTCACTGTTGATGAAAAACAGCGTAAGCCCCCTTAAGGAGACTTTCGGATGAAGTTGAAACAATTGTCGGAAACGACAAATATAGTAAATTTATAGAATTCGCGTTATATATATATATATATATAAACAAAGAATATGCTCTTGGAATTATTATTAGCTAGTAATTTTTATAAATATAACATTAAAATATCTTTTCATTTCTTTTTGAGCTTTCTTAATATATTTATTTATTTATTAAAAAGAATAAAACAAAACACACCAATAGTTAAAATCGTGATGTTTTAGTTTTTATAAATAAATGTGGGTACTTTTAAATAAAGATATGTGATGTACGAAGTACAATAGGACTGCCACTATAACGGTTGACGCTCAATGCTGTGTAGTGTGTGAGCGGGACAGGTTTACTCCTCTCCCTGTCCGGCAGAGTCGAGAATGACCTCGAACGAAAACGGTTGGAAGAGGTAGCCCTCACCAGAGTAGAATTTGCTCTGGAACTCCACCCTGGAAAGGAAGAGAGATGTGTATATTTTTAATAATAATAATTTTTATTTTAGACTTTTTTGGTGCATTAAATATTTATTAGTAACAATATTCTTAAAACTAATGTAAGTAAATTTACACACACACACACATATACACATACACACATAAATATATTAAAAATAATAATTCCGCTGTACAATTCCATTTTTTTTTAATATATCTTGTCAGGAAGTTCGCATCTATATAATGCTATTGACGCGCTACAGAATCGTTAAAATAATTTTGATTTTTTTAAATGTATCTTGTAAGTTATTTATGTAATATTGTTATTTAATTTATAAAGAATTTTTTTTTTTATGCAACTTAGTATGGCAAACAAGCTGACGGCCCACTTTATGGAAAGTGATAACCATCGCCTATAGACATGAGCAGTACCATGGACATAACAGAGTATACTGTTTCGCCCATGATACCCCCGATGCGTTGCCATTCCTGAGAACTCAGGTGTTATTCCTCTGTACCCTGTAAATTCACGCCATATCCTACTCTTCAAACCGAAACAGAGCTATGTTAACACAACTGCTTTACGGTAGAAACACGAATGGGACAGAGGTACCTAAGCAAACGACTTTTGTACAAAGTGTCCCTCTGGTGACAATTTCATTAGATGGCGCCACTACGTCTACTTTCTTAGGCGACGATTACCACATTCCATCAGGTAGGCCGTTAGCTTGTTTGGCATTCTAAGTTGTTCGCTAAATTATATTCTAAATTATATTCGCGTACGTACCAATGCAAACGCAGCGTGTGCAAGAAGGCCGATAGACCCTCCATGAGCACGAGGATGGAGACCGAGATGGCGGCCCAGCCGGCGAACACCACGTATAGGAAGATGCCGCCCTCGAAGTCGCGGGACATCAAGCCTGCAACAAGAGGATATAGCCTAATTAAAATTTATTTAGGGGGAAGAGATTGTTAGTAATGCGAATTACCAGTCCTATTGCTAGCAATATACCTTATCAAATTAAATTAAGCGTCAGGGGTGTTCTCTAGAAATCTGTCCGACTCCAGAATAAGGGCATACGGGTGTGCGACCCCGTAGGCTAACTGGCTTTCCTTTTCATTCTCACCTATCAGCCCTCACTGGTGCCCCACCAGCATATGCCGATAACGCGGGCGGGGTTGCCATTTCATTATCATAAAAAATCGATAAATTCAATATTCATTAAATTCATTTGTTTAGCAAAGTGTGGCAACATTGTTATTATATGTCAATTATCAAAAAAATTGAACACCCTTCAATGTTTATATTACGGACGCATATACAATTGTTTGTATTGATGTTGGTATACGAATTACATACATATACCAACGCTATATCAGTTAAACGCACATTTTTTTTGATGGGTGAAAATGGTATGGTAACCCCGCTTGCGCTAACGTGATACGCTGGCGGAGCACCAGTGAAGGGTGATAGATGAGAATGAAAACAGGCCAGTTAGCACATCATGATGAATTCATCAGGAATTAACCATGATAGTTTCCAGGGGGAACCGCAAGGAGGTCGACCTGGTTGGGTATATTGCTAGCAATAGAATTCTCAGTCTCCATTACTTACAATCCCTTCCCCCCCCCTGCCCCTAAACGCACATATTTAGAAAGAGCACTGCGTCCCGAATTATCATGTAATCGTTTAAAACGTGCCAAAGACGTTGGTACACTGGTTGCTCCTTAAACTAAGCCTGTAATGTGGGAGGGAAAGGGATTGTTAGCAATGGAGTTTGACAGCCCCATTGCTAGCAATATACCCTATCAGGTCGACTTTCACGTGGTTTCCCCTGGAAACCATCGTGAATAATTCTCGTTGAATACGTCACGATAGGTTAATTGACCTACTTCATCCTCACCTGTCATCCTTCACTGGTGCCCTGCCGGTGTATACCGATAGCGCGGGTGGGGTTACTATTTCATTATCATCCATAAAAAAAGCATGTAGTGTAGATATAGTTACCCTTCCGCAGCAGCATGTTCCAGGCGACCTCGGCGAGCTGCGCGTGCGCCAGCGACAGCGCCCACAGCCGCAGGTACGACGCCGTGTGCGAGATGCTGCCCAGCACGTACTCGATCGTGTGGATCGCCTGCCCATCGCGCACGTATAAACAAATAAACAATCCACCCGACACACACAATACAAAAAATCGATTATTCGATTGAATATTCTAATTTCTTATCTCAATTTCATTTGATGTGTATTTCTGTGATAATTTCAACAAAACTTATTTAGTAAAACAAATAGTGTTCATTTTGCAGTTTTGAAGTGAAATTTGATTTTACTGAATATAATTACAGTATACTTCATGGTAATGTTTCACACATTTTTCACGTAATTATGTTATATTATAATAATAGTAAATAGTACACCTACTTCTCTTCAGAACCGTCAATGTGTGTATGTGTGAGTGGGTTTTTTTTTATACAACTTAAAATGGCAAACAAGCTGACGGCCCACCTGATGGAAAGTGGTAACCGTCGCCTATAGACATGAGCAGTACCATGGACATAACAGAGTATACTATGTGCGTGTGTGCGCGTGTGCGTGTGTGCGTGTGTGCGTGTGTGCGCGTGTGCGCGTGTGCGCGTGTGCGCGTGTGCGCGTGTGCGCGTGTGCGCGTGTGCGCGTGTGCGCGTGTGCGCGTGTGCGCGTGTGCGCGTGTGCGCGTGCGTACCTGGTGTATGAAGACTTCAGTGATGTCCTCGTCGTGGTGCTGCGGCGGCGGCAGCGCGGCTCCGCCGGCGGCTCCGTTCTCGGCCGCGCCCTCGATCGTCTGGTGACCCTGGCGCTGACACGAACACACACATAATATAATTAATTATACCGTTCATCGTATTTAACATTTTGCATTTTAGTTTCATTTCATAAATTATTAAACTCTCAAACTACAGACATAACCCTGTATACTATACTCGTATAGAAGCTGAGTGAATAGCTGGCACTTAATTCCTTTAAAATTGTAATAAAAATTAAAATACCCTCATAACAATAAATATTTAACATCGAATTTCTTATATGTATTTATATATCGAATTTATTTAAATAAATGTGCTTACCGCCATCTTTCCGATAATGTAAGAAACGCAAGAAAGATAAGAAATAATTTGATTAAACAGTCGTTAAAGGTTTGGTTTATTTAACAGGTTGTTAAATGTTTCACAGAGAAATATGAATAAGTTCATAGTTGCAAATTTAATTATCAGAAACTTATTTCTGTAATCGCCATATATGTATATCTCATCAATTTACTGTATTTTGAATTATTAATTTTTTTTACAAAAATACAGCAAGTGCTTTATATTATTCTGAATTTCGTGTATAATATAGTATATATCATATATGTGTAAGTATATTTGTTATTCATATATATTTATTCGTTTATATATGTAATTTTAGTATGTATGTATATCAATAATTAGTAGTACCGCATTCGAGTATTCTGACATTTGCAAATGGTTGACTGGGAGAGAATGCTTTTAGCATTAAGTACGCCATGTACACATATTTATACTAATGAATAAATAAATAAAATACAAGTTTCTAGAATAAAAAAAAAAATATGAATTTCATATTTTAATATTATCACTACATAGTACAAAACAAAATCGCTGTCGCTGTCTGTCCGTCCCTATGTATGCTTAAATCTTTAAAACTACGCAAGGGATTTTGAAGCGGTCTTTTTTAATAGACAGAGTGATTCAAGAGGAAGGTTTATATGTATAATACATGCCTAATATTGTAGAGAAACACTGATAAATTTAGAAGTTTCTAATGTGATGTGATGTAATGTGTACCCGAGCGAAGCCGAGGCGGGTCGCTAGTTTCTATATAAATTTGCAATTGCATAATAAATAGTCAATCACTAAATTTAGATAATTTAGTGATATAATAAAAAAAGTTAAATTGGCGATATGTGTACATGGAAGATATTTATAAAAAAATAAAATAAGAAAAAAGATTAAAGTGTATGAAAAGATTGATGAATGTGGATGAAGCGAAAGAGGTTTGTTTGTATCGAAGCATTTGGCGTTCCATTGTTTCTGCCTACCCTAATGGGAGACAGGCGTGACAGATATGTATGTATGTATGTAATATAAGGGGTCGTAATAAGAGCAATAGAAGGTAAAACAATATTTTTTAGGAATTTTGTCCGATCTGTATGTTCGTTTCCTAACTTAAAAATTGGATAAAATTGAATAGAAGTAGCCTGTCTCATTGGTTTCCCTATTTCTAAAATCCATGCATCTAAGTACCTGGCAAAAAACTAGATATAAATATGAATATGTACAAATATTCGTATTGTGCGGGGTTCGAACCACTGGAAGATTTATATATTATATAAAAAAAAAAAGACATTATAACTTACAGCTCTCTCTTTCTGCTCTTTCATGATGAAGTAGGGTTTACCGAACAGCATCACGGGCACGCACATCAGCGCCACGATCACGAAGAACTGGAAAACAGAACATGCGTGAACACTAATTGTATGGTATATCAAAATCACCGAAGAACAAGCTAAAATTCGAATACAAAATCACCTTTACAATTGTGTCAGAGGGAGGGACTTTGTACAAAACTCGTTTGCTTGGGCACCTCTGTCCCATTCGTGTTTCTACCGTGAAGCAGTTGTGTTTGCATGGCTGTGTTTCGGTTTGAAGGGTGCGATATTAACGCGTATGCATTATTAGCAATATACCCTCTTAGGTCGACCTCCAAGCGGTTCCCCCTAGAAACCATCATGGTTAATTCTTGTCGAATTCATCATAGTGGGCCAACTGACCTGCATTCATTCTCACCTATCATCTTCCGATACCAATAGCGTGGGCCGGGTTACAATCCCATTATCACTCATTAACCCCCCTACTCCGGCCGGCAAATAGGGGAGGCCTATATCCAGGAGTGGACGGTTAACGGCCGATACAATGATACATAAAGAGGTATGAACTCGTATTACCTTCTGCAGCCCGATCTGTCCCGCGTACATGTTGTCGTTGCACTGCGGCCGCGTGTTCGGGTCCGTCTTGAACAGCATCATGTTGATGAACGTGATCAGGATCGACGGCGCGCAGTAAGCGCTCGTCTTCACTATCTCTGCAACAAGGCGGACAATCGAATCGGACCAGACTCGGGTACGGTGACGATTTTATCGATACACTCGTCGGTTACACGTCTATGGGTCTCATTTATTCATCACTGGCGACGTGATTCGGTGTTGCACGCTTTTAAAAAAAAAGGACAGAGCATATTAATCGCTGATAATGTACCTTGCTACAGGTGCAAGAGTTTTTAAATTCGGTTGGGTAATTTTTGAGTTTATCCATTACAAACAAAAAAACACCAAGATTTCGGAGATTAGCGCGAACGGAACGGACATAACGACACGGGATTTTTAGGGTTCCGTACTAAAATGATACAAAGGAAGCTTTTTATGGTGCAACTTCGTTCGTTTATCCTTATTCATCTCAGCAAATATTCATGATATTGGTTTAAAACGTGAAATAGTTAATAATAAATGTTTGCATGGCTGTGTTTCGGTTTGAAGAATGGGATATGGCGTGAATTTACTGGGTACAGAGGAATAACACCTGAGTCCTCAGGAATGGCAACGCATGGGGGGTATCATGGGCGAAACAGTATACTCTGTTATGTCCATGGTACTGCTCATGTCTATAGGCGACGGTTACCACTTTCCATCAGGTGGGCCGTCAGCTTGTTTGCCATTCTAAGTTGTATAAAAAAAAATATTACTAAAGAAATAAGTAAAAAAATATTTGTATTTTTTTTCTGTTGGGGGCTCTAAATGATTCTACTAATCTAAATAGGGCATAATCATCATTTTCATTTAAGAGTTTCCTCTTGTCGGTGCAAGTTGTGTAAAAAAAAAAAAAAAACTAATTCATGCATCTTCCTCCAGCCATCTCTATCCCAGGCCATATCCTTTATCTCCCTATACGACATGACGCCTAGTGTTTCCTTTATCTGTCCAGACAGATAAAGGGCATAATATACACAAGAAATTTATTTATACATCGTAATTTTTGACTAATGACTAGTTTTTGAAAAGCTGAAATAAATACAGTTTACAAAAGTATATTATTATGTTAATACGTATTAAAATTTAAAAAAATCTTTATTCAAATAGTTTTGTTTACAAGCACTATTAAATCATTTTTTTTTTAATCCACTGCAGGGTTCGGAAAGTTGTTATCTATTTAAAAGAGCCTGTAAGAAACTCGACAGTTACTCTTTTAAATCCCTGTTAACATTATCTGTATTTATGTATATTAAAAACCTCAAAATAATGATAGGGACAATAACGGGCCATTGTCCATCAAACAAACATTTATACACAATAGGAGCCACAGACAGCCCTCTATGTCGAGGCTGTTTCGACGCCGAAGAAACGGCTGCTCACGTAATCCGGGAATGTGAGGCTGTGGCCCATCAACGTTTAGAAATCCTCGGAACCGTGAGGTCGCTCCGTGAGAACTGTGAAGATCCCAGGAAGCCTCTGTACTTCTGGGTGGAGCTAGGTTGGCTGTACTAGCCACAACTCATACGCACAACGCCCAAATGAGAGGCTAAGCGCGGAAAATAGAGTCCTTTTCACATACACATACACATAATGTGTATTTATTTAAATGTACTATGTATAAAATTACATGGTTGTTAAAAGTTCGTGCATGATCGACTAACATTCTACACATTTGTCATTCAAGTAATCGTTTAATGTGTGTGTAATAGGCTTTGTTAAGAAGTGTTTTTAAAAACAATTTTTGTAACTAGCATAGTTTTATAAAATTTTCAATGACCTCCAAAACACAAAGTGAATTATGGGGTCCAATTTTTAATCACAATTATGGCAAAAAAAAATACGAAATTCATTATTAATAATAACTATTAAGCGTATATTTCATAAGAAGCATAATAAGGTCCTTTTACCTCATATCTATATACGGAATCCTTGGCGCGTGTGTTCAATTCGCACCTGACAGGATTTATTACGTAGTAAGTGTGTGAACTAACCGGGATCGTCGCTGCCGAGGTGAGCAGCGTTGGGTCCGTACGAGGTCCACTTGATGAACATGAGCAGCACCATGTAGAAGAAAAGCAGCACCAGGAACAGGATCTGAGGGATGAACTCCACGTAGATGCTGATGCGACGCTTGAAATAGCTGCAACCGACGGACACGTAATACAGTTACATTTACAACTTAGTAATATAATAAAATTTATGTCAGTAAAAGGGAATTTAGTCTCTACCGCTGGCAATATACAATACAAGGGAGACTTTGTACAAAAGTCGATTACTTGGGTACCTCTGTCCTATTCGTGTTTCAACTGTGAAGCAGTTGTGTTTGCAATTTGATTAAAAAAAAAAACCATATAGTAAGTGTTTATTTTTTTTTTATCTTTTTTATTTAGAGGCTTTTATCCTATAAGGAAGTAAGTGTATTTATTACCAAAATTTCATTGGTCAAGAATAAAATATATTAGACCGTTAAGAGGTAACAAACAAACTGACTTGCCCATATATATTAGTAAGTATTATACTCACAGGTGATTCCACAGCGAGAGACAAACGCCGAACAGCATGTGGAAGACGCCGATGATAATTGAAATCTTCATCTTGTAAGCATTCATGAAGATGATCTTGTTCGCTTCAGCAAGCTGTCGGCAAACAAACACATAGACGTACATTAAAACTACATTATATTAAATGTCTATGACTAACTAATTTTATATGTATTTATTTTTAATCTAAGACTTTGTACAAAAGTAGATTGCTTGGGTACCTCTGTCCCATTCGTGTTTCAACCGTGAAACAGTTGTGTTTGCATGGCTGTGTTTCGGTTTGAATGGTGGGGATATGGCGTGAATTTACTGGGTACAGAGGAATAACACCTGAGTCCTCAGGAATGGCAACGCATGGGAGTATCATGGGCGAGTATCACAACACAGGGGGCAAACGAGCATGCGGCTCACCTGACATGATCACCCACAACACCATCGGCATTGCAAAAAATTAAAAAGGAATATACTTATGTTATGTCCATGGTACTGCTCATGTCTATAGGCGACGGTTACCACTTTCTATCAGGTGGGCTGTCAGCTTGTTTTCCGTGCTAAGTTGTATAAAAAAAGTATTTTTTTTTATTTAAGAGTTTCCTCTTGTCGGTGCAACTAATTCATTCATCTTCTTCCAGCCAGCTCTATCCCAGGCCATATCCTTGATCTCCCTATACGACATGACACCTAGTGTTTCCTTTATCTGTCCCATGTAGTTATTCCTCGGTCTTCCTCTTCCTCTTTTGCCCTCTATTTTTTCTTTTACTATGCTCTTTAAAAAATCATCATGTCGTATATATATATATATATTACTGGAATGTGTAACTGTGTAGCCCTCTAGTAAAGTTGTAAACGCTCTTAAGGAAACTGTAGAGACAAATACTGAAAAATTAATAGACTAAAATTCATAGACAATAGTCTCACCTGCCAAACCGGATCGATGCCGAACGGGTAGGGTGTCTGCGTGTACGCATCCGAGTCGGGGTTCAGTTGCAGCATCTTGTTGCTCTCCAACGTGGACTGGTTGTAGTTGTTCCGCCACGCCGAGCCAAATATGTTTAGACTCTTGGAGAATATGTCGTTGTATATGAGCCCCGTGTACATGGAGAACAGGCCCATGAGGAGAATGATGTAACGGCCACCGAAGAAGATTGTCCATATCTGTCGACAACGGGGCACCAGTGAGGGATTATAAGTGAAAATAAAAGAGCAGGTCAGTTAGCCCATCGTGATAAATACACGTGTAATTCAGCACGATGGTTTCCAGAGGAGACCACGTGGAGGTCGACCTGACGGGGTATATTGCGAACAATGGGGCTGGTAGTCTGCATCACTAACAATCCCTCCTCCCCGGGGTAATATGTTTGCAAGGAGGGAAGCGGATTGTTAATAATGGAGACCAGCAATGGGTGCTAGCTAAATACCCAACCAGGCCCTTGTCCTTGTCCATGGTTCTCCCTGGAAACCATCGTGGTGAAAACCAGGCCCACTGGTTCAATGGTTCAAAAGGCAGGCAAGTTCGTTGATAAAGGTGACACCGCTGGCGAGTACGCGAGATGGTGCGGTTTCATCATCACTGCTCGCCATCGGCAGGGAATCAATCCTCACACCATAGAACACGAATGGTAACGCACAGTGCAATTTCAAAGGAGCTTCCTCCCGCGAACAATCAAGTAGTGTAGCCGAGGCCTTCCTAGAAACTACAGCACGGGGTTCATCAAAATGGACGTATTAAGGTTTTTTAAGGATCGGCAACGCGCGTATGACGTCACTCGTTACGTAATCCCGTTTACCATCAGACGGGCCGTATGCTTTTTTCCCCACCAAAGCAGTATAAAAAAAATAATAAAAAATATGTCCGGTATTGACTGACTAAATGTTGACCCGTTACTGACACTGGATGCTTTATATATATGCTATATGAACAAAAGTAAAAGGTGGACGGTACCTCGCTGTCAATCTTCTTGGCCTGCAGCGGCTTCTCCTTGTAGCACATCCAGAAGCCGAAGGCGGCCATGAGCGCGCCGTGCCCCAGGTCGCCGAACATCACCGCGAACAGGAAGGGGAACGTGATTATTGTGTACGGAGCTGCAACAATTCAATGAGTATTCATCAATCAATACATCATCATCATCATAATCATCATCATCATCACTACATAGTATAAAACAAAGTCGCTTTCCGTCTGTCCATCCCTATATATCTTCAAAAATTTGGCAACGAAATTTGATGCGGTTTTTTTTTTAATAGATAGAGTAATTTAAGACGAAGGTTTATATGTATTATATAGTAGAGAGGGGAAAGGGATTGTTAGTAATGGAGACTAAGAATCCCATTGCTAGCAATATACCCAACCAGGTCGACCTCCACGCGGTTCCCCCTGGAAACTATCATGGTTAATTCCTGATGAATTCATCATGTTGGGCTCACTGGCCTGTTTTCATTCTCATCTATCACCCTTCACTGGTGCTTCGCCAACGTAACGTAACCAAGCACCACCTGGTGGTGGGGTTACCATTCCATTTTCATCCAATAAAAAAAAATATATAGTAGAGAAACGCTAATAATTTTAAAGGTTTCTAATGTGATGTGATGTAACGTGAGGCGCACAATTAAAGTAGATTTTTTTATGATTTTTTTTTTCTCTAATTGTTGCTAATTGTAAAATTATTTTACCTGGATTGACCTCCCTATAAGTGGCCACGCCATAAGCGTAGATCAGGTTCTGGAAGGCGAACGTGAACTTGTTGGTGCGGTTGTACGTTGGCGGATCTTCCAGGGTCTCCATGCGGTTAAGAATCGGCGGCACCGAGCTACCACTGCGTTCCTGGATTATAAAAAAAAAATAATGTATCTCCATTCAAAGGTTGCCTATAGGAGATCACTTTTAGCGATAAGGTCGCCCATTGTTTTCTCACTGTGATCATTTCTTGTAATTGTTTATATATATAAAAGTTTACTATTGTAATCTTTTGGAGGAAACAATAAAGAGTATCTATCTTTTTTTTATACAATTTAAAATGGCAAACAAGCTGACGGCTCACCTGATGGAAAGTGGTAACCGTCGCCTATAGACATGAGCAGTACCATGGACATAACAGAGCATACTGTTTCGCCCATGATACCCCCATGCGTTGCCATTCCTGAGGAATCAGGTGTTATTCCTCTGTACCCAGTAAATTCACGCCATATCCCATCCTTCAAACCGAAACACAGCCATGCAAACACAACTGCTTCACAGTTGAAACACGAATAGGACAGAGGTACCCAAGTAATCGACTTTTGTACAAAGTATACAGTATGCAGTTTTAACAGAGTATACTGTTTCGCCCATGATACCCCCCTTGCGTTGTCATTCCTGAAGACTCAAGTGTTATGACTCTGTACCCTGTAAATTCTACTACTACTACTTTCTATCAGGTGAACCGTCAGCTTGTCTTTGCCATTCTAAGTTACTTAAAAAAAAAATCAGTGTCATACTAACAGTGCCCCTCCTGAGTGCGAGCTGTATGGTCTCCAGGTCAAGCGCTGGCACCCAGCACTCAGCGATGAGACACTTCTGCGTCACATCCAAGTTGAACAGGTTCAGAGTGTGGTAGATGGCCTTGATCTTGCGCACCTTCACGAACCAGTTCTTGATGTTTTTAGCAGCGGCCACCAGCACGCGGTGCCGGTGGTCCTGGGTCTGGCCGAGAACCTGTGGGAAAGATACATAACCAACAATATAACGCGACCCAAGTAGTGGATAAAAAGTTATCAAATATAAAATGGCTGTACCACAAAATAAACAGAGAGATGTTGATTTCTTTACATAAGGTTTTCATTTTCAAAGTCGGCTAGCTAACGCTAAATATATATAATTTTTATATGAACAAAAGACGTCAATGTGACTAGAACTATACGCACTTTTTTTTGATGGGTGAAAATGGTATGGTAACCCCGCCTGCGCTAACGGGATACGCTGGTGGAGCACCAGTGAAGGGTGATAGATGAGAATGAAAACAGGCCAGTTAGCCCATCATGATGAATTCATTAGGAATTAACCATGATAGTTTCCAGGGAGAACCGCGAGGAGATCGACCTGGTTGGGTATATTGCTAGCAATGGGATTCTCAGTCTCCATTACTAACAATCCCTTTCCCTCCACTATATGCACTTACGCTCCATACTAGGGGAAAGGGATTGTTAGTAATGGGGAGATTAGTCCCATTGCTATCAATATCCCGGTCAACCTCCATGCGGTTCTCCCCGGAAAGTATTGTGACTAATTTATCGTTGAATTCGTACTGTCAGCATATAGAATCAGTGTGTAGAATGACGCAAACAAGCGTCATTCTATGTAGCATAAAAAAAAGTTTTCATTTTTTTTTTACTATGATACACAATTATTTATTTATTTATTCATTAAAATAATTATAACATTATGACAGTAAAATACCAAATCAATGTAATATAACCCTAGTGCTTACATACAAAATTATATTAATGGTATTTAACCCAACTCTAGTTATTTCTGAGCCGCTTTTAATGTCTTTGGCAGGCTACTTCTAAAAACATCAATTATGCTTACTGTATTATTTAATATCTCTACAGTGCGAGGTAACAGAGCGTACTGAAGTAGGTTAGTGCTTACTAATAGGATATGAAACGTAAACGGATGAAAATGTCACAGTTTCTAAACCAGTTTTCATTACTATTTACCTATTATAACATCGAAACTTTCGAATTTTACCGAATTTCATAATATTCCTGATAAGGATTTTAGTAAATTGCCTATAGTATATATATTAAAAATGTTCCAGTAAAAATATTTACAAGCTTTCGACTAAGGAGTACAGTACTGGCGTGAATTTACAGGGTACAGAGGAATAACATCTTAGTCCTCAGGAATGGCAAGGCATGGGGAGTATCATGGGCGAAACAGTATACTCTGTTATGTCCATGGTACTGCTCATGTCTATAGGCGACGGTTACCACTTTCCATCAGGTGGGCCGTCAGCATGTTTGCCATTCTAAGTTGTATAAAAAAAAACTCCTATGGCCAGACCACTACTGAAGACGACCTCACAAACACAATCAGAGCACCAAGTCTGTAAATAATCACATACATTGAAGAAGTTGGAGGTGCGTGCCTTGTTAACGTAGACAATCAGTAACTTGTATTTAAAACCTTTATCTATTCAAATAACAACCGTCGACTGCTAAACTTAATGATCATTTTCGTTCAGCAAACAGTCGACTAACAAGTTTATTACAATAATATAATGCTATATGCCACGTTTTAGTGTGTCAAAGCCATGTAAGGCGAATGTTACCAAGTGGTGCCTGTTATCAAGTTATCGCTTTGGCCTAATTAACAAAACAGTTAAGAGTAATACGAAATTATTAAAGTTAGTGCTGTTCACGTTTAGAACTTTACTAGTTTCCATCAGGTGGGCCGTAAGCTTGTTTGACGTTCTAAGTTGCAACAAAAGGTAGAATAACAACGTATTTGCATTGTATTTTGCACTACGTAAACGGAGGCTTGGGATCGAGTCTAAATTGTTAAGTTATGAAATATTCTAATTCGATTTTCGGGTAAATATATTTGACTTGAGCGACACACTTCCTAGACAGAATTACGTATCATGTTATCACCCTTTAACTGTTCACCGGAGAACACAAGCCTCCCCTAGAGGGGTTTTCCAGTAGTTGCCACACTTGGCAATTTCAGTTAGGCTTTGGAGCTGTTTTAAGAGGGGACGCTGCTGCCCATTCCTTGTCTTCCTTTAGTCGCCTCTTACGACACCCACGGGAAAAGAAGGGATGACCTATTCTATTCCGGGACCACATGCCAACCATCCTATCAAACATCAGAACCAGTGCTCGTTTATCATTCTATCGTAACTCCCAAACAAATAGAACTATTTCAATACTTTTTTAAAGTCTAAATGTTTGCTGAAAATAAATCCACTGTGACTGTTTTTTTTTTTTATTTATTTATTAATTGTAAAGGTGAAAGTCACAGACATCACTGGTAGATGTAACGACTCGGTCAATTTCTTAATTTCAACAATAGCGTACGGCAAGGTTACTCATGCGCACGCGCCGCCTCTCGCTCTATGTTTTAAACATTACTGGCATGGTGATTAGTGCTAGTACTGCTAGTTAATCACTGCGCTCATGTTAAGGACACTATTGTCTGTTACAAAGTTATTAAGTACAATGTATACCTGCGACTTTGTCCGCGTAATAATCGAAATTAATTTGTAGCGTGTGATTCCTGTGTGGTCCCGCCATAGAATAGGGCACCCCTATCTTTTCCGTGGGTGTCGTAAGAGGCGACTAAAGGAGAGCGAGGGATGGACAGCAGCACCCCTCTTAAAATATCTTCAAAGCATAATTGCGGTTGCCAAATCGTCTGCCAAGCGTGGCAACTACTGGCAAAACCTTTCTAGGGAGAGGCTTATGTTTAGCAGTGGTCAGTTAAAAGTCGATATGATGATGATGAGATGACTTGATATTAACGCCATCTAGAGGACTTTTTTGTAAACACTATCTAAATTTACAAAAACATTTTTGACCGTCTATAGAGGTCAATATATACTAAGGACAATGAGTGGACAAAACTTTCAAGCCTTCCAAAGCCAAAATTTACAACTGTGTATAAGATTTTATCAAGCTTTCTCATGACCTGTATTTTTTGTATGACACTTTTCAAAGACTAAAAACAAAAAATATCTGTTAAAAAAAAATCGATGAATATATAACTTTATATACACATACTGTATATAAGCGCTTGAGGGATTAAAATGACAGCTGAATGATGTTAGCATTAGACATGACATGACGTACCGTGTTCAAATCTTCGATTCTGGTCATGACACCCATGGCCATTTCGCGGCGGTCGGCCGGCGCCTCCGGGCACGGGTAGAGGGTGGCGCGGAAGCCCTCGCATATTTTCTTCACGCGGGTCTTCAGCTGATCACCTTGGAAGAATATGATGAACACCGACTTGAACACCTGATCCGACTGGGGAACAGAAAAAAGTTTGCATATAATTTATTGGCAATCAACATACAATGTTACAATCTGTATTTGAATTAATTGTAACACAGATTACAAATTTCCTAAAAGTTAAAAAAAAAATTATTTACAAATAAAAATTTAGTAAGTATACTACACATATGACTGGGCATTTAAGGGTGGGTAACATATACAAAAATCGTTTGCTTGGGCACCTCTGTCCCATTCGTGATTCTACTGTGAAGCAGTTATTTTTACATAGCTGTATATCGGTTCGAAAGGTCTTTGGGAATAGCAACGCATGGGGAGTATCACGAGCGAAACAGTATACTCTGTTATGTCCATGGTACTGTTCATGTCTATAGACGACGGTTACCACTCTCCATCAGGTCGATCGTCAGCTTGTTCGCCATTAAAGTTGCATAAAAAAAATAGCAATATCTATATATTTTAAATACAATAAATAAAATAACGAATATATTAAAAGTCTGTTATCCAAAAATTTTAAATGACAAATTTTTAACATATTCGAAATTAGACACCCGACCGATATGGGCGATATCAAAACGGATCATGACCCTTTTTCCTCTATCAAAATCTAGAGGAATTTACTATACAGTGGTACCTCGACATACGAGTGCCTTAATATACAAGTGTTTTGAGATACGAGCCGCCGAGCGAGCGTTATTTAGCAGGATTGGCCACAGGATCTCTTGGCCACAACAGAATACCAGTGTTTTGCTCTTTTAAGGGCGAAGCAATAAACTGAGTTGTGACCATTTTGTGTTACTATGGCACGCGCATGAAGGAAAGGAAAGAAAGGAAATCGTTGGTTTATATATTTTGCTTTTTTTTTGTGGTGCTTTTTTATTTTCATTCTTTTATCTCTTTTACTGTGTATTATGTGTATGTTTTTTTTTTTGTAATTTGTGTGCTGTAAGTAATGTAAATAAATTATCTATCTATCTATCTATTGAAATACGCGGAATCGCACACTACACCGCTGCACACGACCCTAACATGCGGGGTGGATGTTGGTGTCTAACAGTTTCTCCCACCTCAGACTTACACTTAACAAAAACAACTGAGGTGATTTTATGGGAATACAAATTAATGGCATTTCAATTAATTAAAATGGGAAAAAATTGTTTTGAGATACGAGCAAGGTTATGGAATGAATTAAACTTGTATGTCGAGGTACCACTGTATAGATATCGGATCGGTATCCCTATTACCCATGTCTACTGAATGGAAGTCTTAAGGTACACTCACCGAGGACGGGTCTTCAAGCGGCGTGTCAATCTCCGCCTGTCTGAGGAACACGTTGCCGCGGCACGCGCGCCACAGCATCCGTTCGAATGCGGGGATGCGCTCGCGCAGGATCACTCCCGCCACGAAACTATACGCACAACCATATTAATACGAGCCCGTACATGCTAGCATACACAGTGCAAGCAACAGCCAGTGGTCCAACGATCACACGTCCCGAACGGTCACATGACAATTCGGGACGTGTTGCTCTGTCCAGGCATGTCAGTTGGACGACTGGTCGGGAAGGGTTCTTTAGATCGTGCTACATACTTACACAGGGTTAGTTGTAATGAATACCTAGATAGCCATGTTTATGGAAATGAAACACATTCCACAGCATAATTTAAATCTCAAAACAGGATTTCGATCATTTAAAAAATTTAAATATTTCATGTTTTATGAATAATTAGATTCCGGCTCATACATTAAAACTAACCCCGTATATACAGGCATACCTGTATTCATATGATTTAAACTACTTTCTGAATCCCAAGGATCGCTGACATTTAAACGGCCGGTGCGCATGCGCAGCGGGAACACAAGACGTCACTATTACCGGTCTTTTACGATAAAGCACGCTTCGTTCAAATACGATTCGTGTTGCATTCCTATTGCGCATGCGCAAATGTACGCGATCCTTATCATATAGAAGTATTGCAATGGATGTGATGAAAGAATTCGTATTTAGTGTGGTATAAGTATGCAAAACACGCGATTATAATGATGTTGATTAGTATTCAAGTCGGGCAAAACATCAGCCTTGATAGAACGCTTTCACCACTCATCCTATTTTAGTGAGATGTATTTATTTACACTCAAATGCAAGAATGGTTTATCAATATGAATACATCAAAAGAATCTATTCAATTCAGCTATTCGAAAATCAAAATATTCATTATTAGCTTTTTGCCCGCTACTCCTTACCTATGCATGGATGTTAGAAATAAGAAAACAAAAAAAAAAAAACACTTCTAGATGGAATATCAAACCATAGACTAGATTTTAATTAAGACTATCAGGAGTAATATTGTGAAAACTGCATCCAATTTGGTGTAATGGTTTATAAGTACTTAACGTCGGAACAAATATACAGATAGTCAAAATTTCTAAAAAAAAAATATTGTTTTGGCCTCTTTTGGTCTTATTAAGAATCGTCATAGATTTTTTCTTAAATATCTCCCAAAGATTAAGAATCTTCATGTAATTTTTTCCTTAATATCTCCCATGTACAAACATCGTCTAGTTACAATTTGGGAATTTTAAAATTTCTTATTTATTTTTATCGATTCTTTAAACAGATATCGGATTTTAATGCGTACCTCTCAGTTATCTTCGCCGAGTGCGTTTCCAATTCAAAATTTTTCGATTTACTATATTAATGTGCAATGACTAATTAATAAAATAAAATAAAATTTATTTAAATAACACAAATAATTAAATAATACAGTGCTAGTCTGTAAAGTATAACATTTCCAAAACCCAATGACGGTAGTATTATACTAAAAAAATATATTAATTCTTTATGGATTCCATACAATTTTTATTCACGTTTCAAGTTGTTTTCTTTTGTATATTTCGAATTATTAATCTGTAATAGGAGAAGAAGAATCCTCAATGGAAAGTTATCTATCAGTAATTTTAAGGGTGATGTACAGGAATCCATGGAACACTTGATGTGCAACCGCGATTCGTTGGCAAGTATGCGTATGAGTCTATTGGGCATAGCTTATCAAGAGCCAGGGGACTACAAATACCTTAGACTAAGGGATATCGTTAACACATAGGATCTATGAAATGATGGTATAAGGCAGGGGGAAACACAAAAGATCCCGATGGGTCGACGTACAACGGCTTAGCTGGTCCCATATGCGAATATAAGATAAGGTAATACCCTTCAGTTATACTCTACAGAATGCCGGAGATATAATTAATTTATTTTTCAAATTAGCAATATAATGTTTACAAACTGCAAAAGGACATGTTGATATTAGTATTTCTAAGAACTCCATGACGATAGGTTTCACCTTGAAACATAATTATCGTTTTCCTTTTAAGAAAAAAGTTAATTTGTTCAAATATATAATATTCACGGACGATTCAATATATTTTCTAGTCCATAGTCTTTACTATATCTTCATTTTTTTATACAACTTAGAATGGCAAACAAGCTGACGGCCCACCTTATGGAAAGTAGTAACGGTCGCCTATAGACATGGAGAGTAATAACCGTCGCCTATAGACATGAGCAGTACCATGGACATAATATTATTTCGCCCATGATACCCCCCATGTGTTGCCATTCCTGAGGACTCAGGTGTATTCCTCCGTATCACGCCATATCCCACCCTTCAAACCGAAACAAAGCCATGCAAACACAACTGTTTTACGGTTGAAACACGAATTGGACAGAGGTACCCAAGCAAACAACTTTTGTACAAAGTCTCCTTCTGGTAATAATAACCTCATTTATTCTTATTATTCATTTTTAAAACCGACTGAGAATTAAAAATATATAAATAAAGGTAAAATAGAAAAAAAAAAAATGTTATTATGCTTATAATATTAGGTATGTTAGGAAACGATCACCGACATAAAAACTTTAGTACCTACTCATTATGTGGTTGGTTTCTATTAACAAAAAATATTTAGGGTTCAGTATGAAGGGTACCATATAGTGCCTATAGATATGGGCTCTATTTATGGACTATTACCTTAAATATAATAATATATAATTAAAAAAGATATCCTATTTAAGTAGCATAAAGCTCATTTTTGTTTAATTTGGTACTATTGTAATTTACAGAAACCGCACGAAAATATATGTATCTAATTTAAGGCAATGGTGTCTATGATACTGGTTAGGCCTAGATTAGGCACTAATGTTCTGGGCATAATGTAACAGCTTATAAATACATATATATTTAAATTTGTGCAATAAACCTTTATTATTATTAGATTTGACATAGATGTAATATACAAAAATATATATATAATAATAACTGTTTGGCTGGATGCCATCGACAACCAATTATAGAATATGGGTGTCGCCCACTTTCAGATAACGCCGGTTGGCAACAAAGGTATGATATAATGATACAATACGTTACGATTAGACAAGTTTGCAAACATTGTGTGCATTTAAAATCCACAAAACAACAATGGGAAAAATAATCATTAAAATAAGAAAGACATGGACTCGAGTTCTCTTTAAAAATTGCATGATAGTCTAAACATAAACAAAAGGAGTATTTATTTGGGGGGGATAATGGATTGTCAGGTCGACCTCCTCGCGGTTCCCCCTGGAAACTATCGTGTTCTATTCCAAGTGAATTAATTCATCACGATAGGCTAACTGACCTGCCTTTTCATTGTCACCTATCATCCCTTATTGGTGCCCCACCAGCGTATACCAATAGCGCAGGCGGAGTTACCTTTCCATTATCATCCATTAATAAAAAGAGTAGTGGAACACTATAAATGCTGGCGGGACATCAGTGAGGGGTATCACCCGCGGTGACGCTGAAAGCAAATCCGTTAGCCAATCGTGACGAATTCCACTAGAATTAGTCACGATAGTTTCCAGGGGAGACCACGTGGAGTCCACCTGATGGGATGTATTACTAATTATGGGAAAATTAGACCCTATTACTAGCAATCCTTTTCCCAAATTATCATTACCATTTCATTATCATCCATAAAAAATGTCTAGCAAGATTACATCCTCGGTAACATCTTACTTAGAGAGCATTCAAGTCATATAATAAAGCAATAACTGTACAATTTGAAATCATTATAAATGCAACATATGGATTCATAGACGTTAGAAACATTAACTAACTATTGTGGACGCCGTATGATAATGGGTGCCAAATAAATACAGCGTATTATGGTATGGGCATGACTTGAAAAACTATAGGAGAACTACTGTTATATACGTACGTACTTGTATTGTTTGATCGTTTATATTCATACTCGAGCAGTAGGCGGTTGCTTTAATGATACTTCTGTATTCACATTACGTACTTATAAATTACAATTTTTCCGTCCACTAAGTTATTACGATATTTATTATCGGTTTTTACCCGTGACTTCGGCCGCGTCGCCGGTATGGAATGGTAATCTCACCTTATCGTAAAGCACCTGTTTGCATGACTGTTTCGATTTGAAGGGTGGGATATGGTGTGAATTTACAGGGTACAGAGGATAATACTTGAGTCCTCAGGAATGGGAACGCATGGGGGGTATCATGGGCGAAACAGTATACTCTGTTATGTCCATGGTACTGCTCATGTCTATAGGCGACGATTACCACTTTCCATCAGGTGGGCCGTCAGCTCGTTTGCCATTCTAAGTTGCATAAAAAATCTCACCTGCACTAACTGTAAACGCTGACGGAGCACCAACGAGTGATGATAGGTGAGAATGAAAAGGCGGGTCAGTTAGCCCATCGTGATGAATACACCTGGAATTTAGCACGATGGTTTTCAAGGGACCACGTGCCCCATCAACCTGTTCAGTTATATTTAATGTAAATAAGGATAGTAGTTAGTACATATAAATAATTATTATATGTACATTATTGTAGCTACATTTGTCCCAATAATGTGTAGGCATGCAGCCAGGTCTCCATACAAGTTTTTAAACCGGTTAACGTGTTTATACATATGTTAAGACTTATTTCCTTATTGTCTACATCTATGTAGGTTTTTTTTTTAATTGGTGAAAATGAAATAGTTCGAAATAGTGTCCCCGCTTGCACTATTGGTATACACCAGTGAGGGGTAATATTTTTTTTATACAACTCAGAATGGCAAACAAGCTAACGGCCCACCTAATGGAAAGTGGTAACCGTCGCCTATAGACATGAGCAGTACCATGGACATAACAGAGTATATTGTTTCACCCATGATACACCCCATGCGTTGCCATTCCTGAGGACTTAGATGTTATTCCTTTGTACCCTGTAAATTCACGCCATATCCCACCATTCAAACCGAAACACAGCTATGCAAACACAACTGCTTCACGATAGAAATACGAATGGGACAGATGTACCCAAGCAATCGATAATATTAAAGAACAGCACAT